GCCTCACCTGGGCGTTCTGACAGCCTGTGATGGGAGTGGCACCCCCCCATGGTACTGAGATGGCAAGTGGACCCCCCATTGCTGAGAGCACATGTGAAGAAGGCTCTGGTGCAGTGGTGAGCGCCCAGGCTCTGAATCTGGAGAAACTGGGTTTACACTCCAAGTTTGCCAGTCACTAACTGGACTAGTTCTTCAACGCATTTGAGCCTGTCTTTTATCATCTGTAAATGGGGATGATTCTTACAGCACTTCACTGTTGTAGGAGTAAGTGAGATAATGAACGTGAAAAGAGTGACAGAGCGTAGGTACCAGCCGAGGAAAGGGCTGAGCTTTTTAGAACCCCTGATCCTAGCTCAGCGCAGGGCACATCAGAGGGTCTCGGGAACTGCCCTGTCCTGAACAGATGGGAAGACCCTTTGGGGTGTGGGAGCTCTTGGTGTTAGCAAGTTTGGAGGTAGCTAGTGTGCCCTCTCCACATCTTTGCCAGAGCTCCTCTGCCTATCACTGAAGATTTTCAGAGGTGATCTTGAGTCCGTAATCTACTCAGCACCCGTTTTCCTGGCGCCCTCTTTGGATGAGTCCTTGTGATGCCAGCGGGAAGGCTGCAGTGGAGAATCTCTGGCCAAAATTTCCATCTCGTGTCCTGGCTTACACTGCCCTCTGGTGTGTACTCATGGGACAAGCATGGTCGGTGAGGGTTTGTGGTGACCTTTTTCTTGGTGCTGAGGAAGAGGCTCCCCTGTAGCAGCTGTTGGCAGTAGTGTTGGGGGGAGAGGTAGTGTTTAAGACCCCTCTCTGCAATTTAGTTGGCAACTCCTAACATTTGCCAAGCATGATGCTTTTTACCAATGTTCTAGACCACTCAGCTATCAAATACTAACATCCTTCTAGGCTCAAGTTTCTCTCTATGGCAGGTTATTTGTGTTTGGCCAAGACCCAAAAGGAACAAGGTAGTTTGATGCTCTTCCCCATCTGTTGTCTGTTTTCCTCTGATCCCTGGGCACCTAATTCTTAGAGCCGCCCTAGCTGCTCTCAAGGGTCTGGGTTGCAGGAGGCATGGGAGCCCAGAGAGACTCGGAACCGAGCCTCCCTGTCCCGGGCCTGCAACAGCCCGCCGTCCACTTGCTTCCACCGCCTTGCCTCCTGCCCCTTCTCAGAGTCAAGCCCTGGGCCAGTGAACATGAAGTGGGCTCCCCCAGGCCAGAAGGGAGCAGTGGCCCTTAAGCGCAACACACCTGCTGACCTCTCCACGGAACTTGCTGGAGGCATGCACTTTTTACCATTAGGCTGAATCATGAAATTGCTTATATGCAACCATTTTTGACCTACAAAAACAGCAACTTCATATGATTCAACGTAATACTTAGCCACACAAACCCTGTGTGTGCCAGTGGTGACCCCGGAGTCCAAAGTTCCCAGACTCGTTTAGACCCAGGCTCATGGCACATCAGGATCCTAGACTGTTGAGCTCTAGGGTCCTAGAGAATGTTGAGTTGACCTCAGGTTCCTGGGACTGGCCTCACTCAATGTGTCAGGCCCCTCTGTTCCTGCACGGGTTCCACGGTGACCTCCAGGCCAGGCTTGGGGGGGACACATAACCAAGGGGGGGCCCTCCAGCACCACAGCCAGGTGGAAGGGGAACCCTGGAGAAGTCTGTCGGGTGGTGCTGGCCCTCCCAGCGAGGCTCACAGGGTTTCAGGAGGGAAGGAAGCCTTGGGCTGCTGGACACTCCCAGCACCCTCGACCCTCACCTCTGCTGCCCAACCCCAGCAGTCCGGCTGGTATTGGTTGCCCGCAGACTGAGCCTGAGCTCCCTGGGCCACCAGGACTTCTCAGGTGGCTCCTGTGCCCTGCCAAACCTCGGGGCCTGCCATTGGAGCAGGCAAGGTGCAGGAGGCATCTAGGGATGAAGGCAAAGTGGCCCTGGAGGTTTAAAGCTGCAGAGTCACAGGAAGTTTATGAGTAGCAGTTCACAGGACTCAACAGTTTTTGTTACTGAGAAAGCTACCTGGCACCTTCACATATGACCCAACAATAGTGTTAAAGGAAATGGGTTTTTATTAACAGGATTCCAACCTCAGGGGAGCCGAGGGCACTCCTGCTCAGAGCCCTCCTCTCCCACAAGACCCAGAGCTTCCCTTGCTCCCCAGAAGGCTACAGGCCAAAACCACGCCCACAAGTCCCCCACGTCCTTATCTGTCCATCAGCCAGTCACGCAAACACGTCTCCATCCTCTCTGGAATGTGCCCTGTGGGTTTCAGAGTCCCATCCTCTCACAGCAGCTCCCTCCTTCAGGATCAGGGGTGCGCTGCTCTCAGCCTCCATGCAGTGACTCAGGAAGCCATGTGCCGAGTTACACTGGGTCATGGTGGAGCCCTGGGAGGCACACGTCCCACGAGAGTGGCTTCTCTATATGTCCTTCAAAGAAGCAGAAGTACCTCCTCTCTTACTCCAGACCGAGTGGGTTCTCTCTCTCCTCTTTCAGCCTGCCCTCCTTTTAAATGCTCAGCCCAGAACTTCCTTTGTGACCCCATATCTGGCCCCTCCTATGTTGTGTTCGTGTCCACCATTTTTGCCAGTTTCCCTGTATCTTTTACCTTCTTTTGGCTGCCATCTTTAGTCAGGGCAAGAGTTCCCAGTGACCTGGCATCCACCCCTTGCCTCTCATGCAGGCACAGTATAAGCAACCCCCACATATCAAGAGTCTCTGAGTGTTTTCAGCATCATGTACACCATTTATGCTAAGTCCTCTTCCTTTCAGGAAGGCACAGCTGTTAACTAGCCATTGTCATGTGATGTATCTTAAATGCTGCATCATCTCCTCTTCCCTTCCCCCAGTCAATGATTGTGGGGTTTTCTTCTATTTTCAGGGGACTCTTGCTCTGCAGCCCATTACATTTTGACTCTGGGATCCACCCACCAGCCCTGAAATCCTTGGACTAACAGATGGGTCCTGATGACTTGGAACTTGGTAGTGCAGGTTAGGGGCCTGGTCTCTTTCCTACCAGGAGGATCCAAACAGGAGAGGGAGGGTTTCAGTTCAGGCCATTGTAGCATCCATCCATCCATTTATTCATTCATTAAACAAATGGTTTTTGAGTGCTTGTATGTGCCAAGTACTTGATGTATAGCAGTGAGCAAAACAGAGAAAAATCTCCACCCTCCTGGCATCGCAGCCTCTTGGGTCATGCCATTAATAATGATGCTGTTGCCTGGCTAACAATTCTATTGTAAAACTTACCATTTTTACCACAGGGTAAGAGAATTAAATGGGTAAAATGTGTTTTTCTTAAACTTTAATAAGAGGAGATGCTCTGGATATAATGTTAAACAAAAAAAACATGAGAGAAAATTGTAAATGTGCTCTATTTCCAACTATGTTAATATATATGTGCGTAGAAAAATGACTGGTGGGAAATAACCCCTAAGTATGAGCAGTGGTTGGCAGACGCTGTTTCCTAAGATGGTCACAGCAAGGTCCCTCACACCCTAGGCTCTTCACAATGTGATCTTGACCTCCCATTGAGAGGTGTGGTCAAGGTCTCCTCTCCCTGCATGCATGACAGTGCAGCTGCTGCCCAGCGGTCCTGGATTGCTCCTATTTGGAATGCCAGCTGCTGCGAGGAAGCACAGGGAAAACTGTCTGTGGGTGATTTGGCCAGAGCCCCAGCCAAGGACCCTGCTGATGGCCAGCACAGCTTATTGGACATGAATGAAGAGACTTGAGCCTTCTGACTGCAACCGTGTCTGAGACCCGCAGCATGAACAGCCTAGCTGAGCCTAGCCAACACCTAGAATCATGGCATAATAAGGACAGTTGTTGTTTAAAGTGACAGGGTTTGGGGGTGATTTTTCATACAGCATTAGGTACCCAGAAAAAATGGTTGACCTGGAGTGTGGGACTGTGGGTGTTAACACTACTTTTCTATGTTTTCCAAGATTTCTATAGTGACCACTGATTTTATAATCTGTGAAAGAAATGTTGTTAAAAATAAAAACACGGTTTAAATTCGTTCACTTCACATAGGGAGCAGTAAGATCTGAATTTGAATTGAGGGACTTAAATTAGCCTTGGAGAAAAGCTTTCCATGCAAGACCTATTAGATGCTGGAAAGGATTAGTAAGATAAATTCGAGTTGGTATGATGGGAAGAGTGGTAGATTTGGACCAAGGAAACTTGGAAATAATGTCAGTTTTCTGAGTGACCTTGAGCAAGCCTTGCTCAGATTCAGCTTTCTATTTTGAAAAATGCAGCTGGCTGCCTAAGGAATAGATAGCATCCGCCAGGGTGCCTGGCCCAGAAAAACCGCTCTGGACGCGGTAGGTGATAGTGTGTAATCGATGCCAATTATGAGCGGGCATCTGCACGCTTCGCGGAGGGCTCATCCTTCACTGCCACCAGAGACTGCCGTTCCAATAATGAAATTGTCCGAAGAGCCACAACTGTTTAAAAACAAACAAACCCAAAACAAAACCCCAAACGCTGAGCAAACTCTCCAGTGGCCCTTCCCCACGACGCCGTGCCATGGCTGGAGCCTCTAGTTCTGTCTATCTCAGAAGGCTCCATCACGAGCCGAGGACCCTTGGGCCCTGAGACGCCCAGGGCGGAAGACCTGGAAGCCCCGCCTGGCGCCAACCCCCGCGACCGCGCGTCGCTGGGCCGGTGTCCTAGCAACGCCGAAATGCGCTCCCAAGGTGAGAGGAGCTGGCGGCTGCCGTGTCCCTCTCGCCTTAGGCTCTCGTGGGTTCCTCGCTAGACCTGAGGCAGTTCAGCTGCCAGTCGGTGCGTTGATAACACTGCATCTTTCCTGGAGTCCTCCGAGCGTAAAGGTGGGCCATCCCCGGGCGAAGGGGAGGGAAGACCCACAGGTGGAAAACGGCAGGTGCACCTGGGGTGTGTGGGGCAGTGGGCCCTTCGAAGGCCGGGAGAGAACTCATCAGAGCTCTGGGGCCCTTCGAACCGAGAATCACTCTTACAAAGGTCTTTTCTTTGTCTCCAGGTTGCTTTTAATATTTAAAGTGAACTCGTGCACAGATGAGTCTACACACCGGAAACGGCCCGCAGGGCTGTCGGAGCCCCTCCACCACCAGAACGACCTGCCCCGGAGAGCTGGAGAAGGTTCTGGAGAAAGTAGACGCTGGTAGGGCTGTAGTAGAGAGGAGATACAGTTAAGTGGAAGAACTCAGGAGGGCTGGATGTGGATTTGATCTTCATATCCAAGTGTACTAAAGCCAGGAGACACCATTTCAAGTTTAAAAGGAGGCTAGCTTGGGGACATACTGGAAAGAAAAACTCAAAAAACTACTTGTGTCGTATTAACCCAAGATCTAACAAGGTAGAGAGCAGCTTCAAAGCAGAGTCTCATCAATGACCTCTCTGGGCCTCCTAACGTTCTCATGCCTTCCCCCGCCCCACCCCATATATAACAAATGAGTAAAGGGAGCCAGAAGTTTGACCTGCCCGGAGCTTCAGTCAATAAATGGTAAAGCTGGGATTTGACAGGAGTCTTCTGGTCTCTGAAGTCCATACTCTTTCATTTTTTTCCTTTTGCTTATATATCAGTAGGTTTGTAGTACTGTATGGGATGGGCCAGGTCAGGTAGAAATTATGACCACTTTAAGGAAATTAAAGTTTAAATTGAATAATGGATGATAGTTCTGTCATTGGTTCTTAAGCCTGTGGAGGATGTTTGGGGCACATTCACCTTGACAGAACAATGTCATGGAGCAGAACAACCACAGTTTCTCAGAAAACCTCAGAGTACTTGACCAGGTTGGCATTTACCTGTTATAGGTGAGTGGCCTGTATGCTGCGAAAAGGGGTTGTAAAATCTTCTCTCTCTTCTCCATCACATCTTAGCTTGGTCCCTGGTCTTCTGTGTCTAGGTCCTCGACCTCCTCATTTTTCTTTACAAGTGCAGGGAGAGGAGGGAGCTATGACTCACGACACCCACTTATAAGTGGGGCCTCTGGAGCACCAGGAGGTAGAATCAGGAATTGCCCACCATGCCTAGGTCAGCAGGACAGAAAGGTTCTGGAGTTCTCACTTGAAGCCCCAGACTTCTCTGCAGGTCAGTCTGGGTTAAGGAGGGAGCTGCTGGTTTAAGGGTGGGGTCGAGGGGCTCCGTGTGTCTGCTTTAGGAGCACCAGCCCCTGAGATCCCCAAACCGAGTTAGCCAGAGATCGGTGGCTGCCTTTTCTGCTCTGTAGGTGTGTCACTCAGGAGACCACATCTGAGCTCATGGGGTTCAGGAAAGAAGGGCTCCAAAAACCAGTTGAAGATGAATCCACAACTGTGGGTATATACACAGCTTTCCGGCAGAGAGGGCCCATTGCTGGCACTCCTTCTTGGGGAGCCTATGACCCAAAACGGGGTTTTCCTTAGGTTATTTTTTGGGCAGATAGATGGGAGTGGGAAACTGAATGTTAAAGAGTATCCACATTAAGCAAATTTGGTTTGATGTATTATTTTCCCCATTCCGGACAATGCCATTGTCTGAACAAGCTCAGATGACAGGTGTGTGAAAGAGCCTTGGTTGTGGAAGATGTTATTCCTACCTAAAGAGATGGCAGTAGTTATCCTGGATTCTACAGATGGTTCCAAAGAAGCAGGCTTTTCTGTAAACTCTCCCTTTCCCCTGAATTTCTTTCTGGTCACCAGAACCTTGGCTTGGTCCTTTCGGTTGCATCGTCTTGCCTCATGTCATAGTGCTGTGGCAGCTCGTTAGAATTTCCTACGTTATGGCTCACCGAACCTTTTTGCATTGGAATAACAATTATTATGATAAATGGTGACCCTTTCAAGAAGATGTACCTTAGCTTATTGGCTCCTCACCACAACGTAGAGAGCTAGACAGAGAAGTGGGGCCAGCGCTGGGAACCGGGCATGGGGGGGTGACTGACCGGCTTAAAGTTCCTTGTTGTCACTCTAGGCATCGGAGCATCGGATCAGAGTGGGAGGTGCGGGCTCTTCTCCCTGAGCGCTGTGGGAGGCAGACTGAGGCTGAGTTACTTCTAGAAAGATCTTGTGATCACTTGCATCTGGAGAATATGTTGTTTGCCAGTGTAGCACAGAGTGCCCTTTTGTCCTTACCTGTCACATGTCTTCCCTGTTGTAGCAGCCACAGGCCACTTTCTAGAGTGTTGCCACACAGACGTCTTAGGCAAACAAGGAAATGGGCTAAATCTGTAGGTGTGATTTCACTGCTCACTGCACAGGGTTATGTAATATATTCAAATTTTGCATCTAAAAATGAAAAAAAAACCCCTCAAAAAACCAAAAAACTTTTGAAGGGGTTCCTCTGATACCATCTGTAACACCCAGTTCTTGCTTTAGTCAACATTCAAGTCCTTTAGTGGGAAATATACGATTAAATATTTGTATGCTATGAAAAGACAACAGCAATTAAAACCTGTGTGCAAAAGTTATTGGAAGTAAATGCTATAATAAATAACTCAAAATTTATATATAAGAACCTAGATGACATCTCTGCCCTTGATCTTACTTCTTTTCTACATGTGTGAGTCCTTTCTGTGTTCGCATGGATAAAATGTACCTTTTACATAGATATGTTTCTAGAAGTAGAACCATTGGATCGAAAGTACACTTCTCACAGACTTGGGAGGAAACACACAGCCAAATTGCTCTTTAGTAAGAGGGAGACATTTCCACCAGCAATGTGCAAGAATGCCATTTCTCCGAGCGGGACCAACTTAGGGTTTTGCAAACTGATGGCAAATCTCATTTTAAATTCAGGTCTTTGAGTATTAGGAAAGATGAACTTTTCCCCAAATGTATATTGGCTATTTGTATGTATGTGTGTGTATTTTATTTAATGAATTACCTAGTTGTGTATTTTGCCCATTTTTTCCTCTTTGAGTATTTATTTTCATCTTATAAATTTATAAAAAATCATCATATGTCATGATTAACTCTTTCTTATCATGTATGTTACAAGTTTCCTTTTAGCTTATAACTTGCTATGGAAGTTTTAAATGTGTGAGGTCTGTCCAGAAAAAGTCCAGCCATTGTTAATACAATGACAATGGTTTGCGCAACATCGGTATAACCTGGCAGCCAAGGAGAGTGAACTGGAATGTGCATGCATGAACAATGACAACTTCACTGTGTTAGTTGGATGCTGTTGAGTGAGCATGTGTGCTGTGTGGCCATGGCATTCAAAATGACTGAGTAGAGAAATGAATCTGTGTCAGGTTTTGTGTAAAGCTTGAACGTTCTTCCATGGAAACTATTTGGATGATTCGGAAGGCTGCAGCTATGGGCAACTGGTGGTTGGCAGCTTCATCATGACAATGCATCACATCTTGTTCAGAGATTTTTTAAAAAAGATTTTATTTATTTATTTTTAGAGAGAGGGGAAGGGAGGGAGAAAGAGAGGGAGAAAACATCAATGTGTGGTTGCCTCTCACCACCCCTCCCCCCCGCCCCCGCACTGGGACCCAGCCCACAACCCAGGCATGTGCCTTGACTGGGAATCAAAGTGGCGACATTTTCTGCTTTGCAGCTTGGCACTCAATCCACTGAGCCACACCAGCCAGCACCTGGTGCAGAGATTTTGGCAAAACATCAAATCACCCAGGTGACTCAGCCTCCCCTACAGCCCAGATTTGGTGCCTTGCAACTTTTGACTTTTCCCAAAACCACCTTTAAAAGGGGAGAGATTTCAGATTATCAGTGAGATTCAGAAAAATATGATGGGTCAGCTGATGGCGATTGAAAGAACTGTGAGGTCCCAAGGTGCCTACTTTGAAGGGGACTGAGGCATCATTGTCCTCCGTACAGTGTTCCTTGTATCTTCTTCAATAAATGTCTGTTTTTCATATTGCATGGCTGGATATCCTCTGGACATATCTTGTAACATTAAACTACATTTTTATAAGTTATACTTCATAGCTCTGTAATCTTGAACATGTTACTTGACATTTTGGGTTCTCAATTGCTTTATAGGTAAAATCATTTCCATTTTAGCTATAATTATGATCTCCTTTTTCTTCATAATACTGTACACTTGTGTTCAGATTTTTTTCTTGAACTTTGCTTATCTGCATTATTAGTTTTTTCCCATGACAAAACTGATAATCTTCATTTTATTCGTTTCTGCTTTCCTTTTCCTTATCATTTTGGAGGATTTATTCCTTTTTCCCCCTCTCACTTCTTGAATTGAAAGCTTAGTTCATTAATTTTGGAATTTTTTTTTTACACTTTAACCCATCAGTTCCAAGATGAACATTTTCCACCTCTGAATTTGGATCGGTCCAGCCGTGCTGAGGGCCCAGAGGCAGGTGTGGAGTGGTTGTCAGGAACTTTGCTGCGTGAGACTGAGCAATGCTGGAAGGGTCTGTGGCTTGGGGGGAGTTCCGGGGGCAGTAGAGGGGCACTGGTGTAGACATGCTGCCTCACCGGCGTCGTCCGTGCATTGAGGCCGACTGAGGCGGAAAACGTGCACATCAGTGACTGAGCGGAGAAGTGAATTAGTAATCAGATTTCACATGTGAGGATGGTTTGAAGAATGCCTTAACCAGTTGATTTTGCTTGTATTTTTCTTTTTGAAATATGCACATGCGTGCAATATGTTATTAAAATCTAAGTCTAAAAGACTGCTTCGGTAAGTATAAAATAAAAATTCTAAGTGATAAAAGATTGTGCCATAGTTTATTTTTTAATTTTTTATCCTCACCAGAGGAAGTTTTATTTTTATTGCTTTAGAGAGAGAGACAGGAAGGGAGAAAGGAAGGGAGCAAGAGCTACCTCCATGTGAGAGATAAATGTCAGTGGGTTGCTTCCTGTAGGTGCCAGGACAGGGGACCTTTTGTTTATGGGATGATGTTCCGGGGACTGGATGAAGCACACCAGCCAGCCACTATTTTTGCCATAGTGTAATTGGCAGCTGCTGTTTTTTTTTAAGGTGCATATAATAATAATGGTATCACAATGGATAGTGTCTTATATTCAGTGAAAAACAGTACATACATTTAAGGCACAAGTTTCTAATTACTGCTTTAGTTGAACCCCACAAGTTTTGATATATAGTACTTATATTGTTGATTGTTAAGTACTTCATGTTTCTCATTACAATTTCTTTTTTAAATACAAAATATTTACAAGTGTGATCTGTTTCCATGCTCACAGATGCTTTGGCTGTCTTTTTATTATTGACTTCTAATTGTATTGCATTGTGATCAGAGCGTGTGGAATGTGTTGTATTTGACACTTGCTTTTGTGGCTCAGTATATGGGTGGTTTCTTCCTTGGCTGCCAGGGACCTGTGCTCTTCTTCTCACCCCTCCACTGGGCTCCACTCCATCCCAACTACTCACACCTGAAGGAACCGGTTGACCTTCACTATTCCTGGGGCTGCTCTAGGACCTCCAGCATGTTCCCACACTTGGCTGGTCCTGAGGATCAGTCACCTGAGGTGCTTTTGAAACACATTGATTCCTAGGTCTTCCCTGGCAGGTCTGGGTCAGAGCCCTGAAACCTGCTTGTTATTGAACAAGTGCTCCAAGGTGGTTCTCATGACCAGGCCAATGCAGGGAATACTGCGTAGTTGGGAATCAGGAAGTGAGACAGGTGGGGTGCAGTGCTCTGATGGAGCTAGGCTTGCAGAAGAGGAAAATCACTGGGAATGTGAGCGCAGGAGCTGTGGGGGAGGGGCACTTTTTCAAAATGCGGGTTCTCAGGCCTCACTTGGATAGATTCTAAATCAGAGGCTCTGTGATGGAGTTTTGGAATCTGTATTTTTCATTCTAATGAAGACAGTCCTAGAATCAGGATAGTGTGAGGGGAGGAGGTAGCTCAGCTGGTCTTCAAATGTTGTAGACTCACAGACAATCCTCTCAAGAGTATAGGGTTTGGCCCTGGCCAGTGTGGCTCAGTTGTTTGAAGTGTTGTCCTGTAATTGAAAGGTTGCATGTTCGATTTCTGATCAGGGCACATATCTAGGTTGCAGGTTTGATCTCGAAGTGCAGGCACGTACAATCCCCAGTCTGGGCACGTACGGGAGGCTGGATGCTTCTCTCTCTCATCTATGTTTCTCTCTCTCCCTTCCTCTCTAAAAGCAATGAAAAAGAAATGTCCTTGGGTGAGGATAAAAAATGCGTAAAGGGTTTGGTGGTGGGGTTAAGATTTCACAAGAGTGTAGAAGGTATGATCCACTTGCTATATGATTTTGAGAGGGAGCCAAATGAATTTTTTTATTCATTGAGAAATGAACAAAAAATTGTCTGAGTACCAGTCCCACTGACAGATGATGGGAATTTACAGATGACTCCTGTATATCCTGTTCACGTGCAGCATGATACCCCAGGGCTGGAACAGCAGTCTATCTAAAAGTGCACTCAAGAGTCAGAGAAGTCTGAATCTTAACGCTTCTAGTATTCTTACAACTACAAGTTACATTGTGGTAGAAGTCTATTGACTTCTGTGCTCTATGAAGTTATGCATAAAGAAATGCACTATCCACTTATCTGACATTTTAAAAATGTGAATGGACAAGGCGCACACCCATATACAATGATGGCAGAACAGATTGTCTTTCACGAGGCAGTAATTGTACAGCAAAGTGAAGACAGTGGATACACTTCTCTGTCAGTCATGGGCCTCCCTGACTTGTAATTGTGGTGCCCAGCATTGAGCGTCTGTTTTGTGCCAGGCCCTGTTCTGAGTGCTACTGAAATGACCGAGACACAGCCCGGTGGGGAAGTTGTGTACAGAAATGAATGATGACACTATGTTGTGAGGGGAACCCATGGAAATTTCTGAAGACAGTTCTTTGGGTTTTGATCACCAGCTACATTCATTAGTGTTTTACAAACAAATCCCTTGGGAAATTGTGTTGAGATGCTCGGTAAACAAGCAGTGATACATAGCTCGAGTCAGCTCTTAGTTCTCTCACTTAGTGCAGAGTAGACTGTGTAGAGGCGCAAGCAGTCTGGCAGAGCAGTCAGGATTTTAGGCTCCAGCGTCATAAGAACTGTGATCAAATCTGGGCCAAGATGTTTGTTTTCTATGTGATTTGAGCAAGTTGTTTAACCTTCTGAGCCTCAGTTTCCTCATCTGTAAAATGGAAGGATAAATACCTAAGTCTGTAGGTAGTTATGAGAATTAAAAAGGAAAATGTGTGTAAGATAACAACACAATCCCCAGTATATACAATAATGCTAAAAAATATTAATTTAAAAATTGTAGTCTGGGGAACAATATGGAGTGGAAAGTGTTTTCATCAACATAATGACATTGTGGTATCTTTGTGCTGTAGGCACTAAACACAAGGATTTCCTGGATTCTGAGGGATGTATCGCCAATACAACATCCTCCGACCAAAGGGTCAGCCCCTCGCATTCTGCAGTGACAGCTGGAAACATCAGTGAGCCCGCAGCCCCCTGCAGAGTGCCTGCTCTCCTAGAGTAAGTAAGGGTCCAGCAAAGAGGCATACATGGTGGGGAAATTCTGACCAGGAGCCAGCAGTCTGAGAGGTAGCTTGACATCCTTGCCAAGAACATGGATTCTGGAGCCAGTCTGGGTTTAATGCCCAGCCCTACCACTTAGCCTCCGTGTGAACTTGGGCAAAGTTCAAATGTTCAAAAAATGAAAAAAATTATAACTTTCCAGGCACCACAAGCAAGGGAGGCCCATGACTGACAGAGAAGTGTACCCATTGTCTTCACTTTGCCACACAATTACTGTCGTGAAGGACAATCCATTCTGTCAGATTAGATGGCTCCCTGGCATACACTATGTGCTGTGCGAGTGCTTGCTGTTGTGAAGTTCAAAGGCAAGCGAAGGGTGAGGGGTAGGTGCAGACAAGTGTAATTGAACAACAATAATTTAAAAAAGAAATAAAAGGTGGTGAAAATAAACTAAATTCTGTATATTTAGGAATAAGTACATGCACATGTATGTAGGTGGTGAGTCTGAAAGACAAGAAATGACTGCTGTGAGGGTCAGTCTGGGAAGTGGCCACTTCTCCGGGAAAGGGCTCTGGGGACTGTGGGGCTGGATTGTTTTGTTTCTTGTCCTGGGTTTTGGCTTTGTGTTTAGCTGTGAAACTGTATTTATATTATGTGTTTTGTGTGCCATTCCGTTTATATTTCTTTTACAGTAAAAATTTTGAAAACATTATTCTAACAAGTTTTGTTATAATGAAAGTAATTTCAATTCATTGTAAAAATTTTGAAGATATAAAAGTATTAAAAAAATCACAATAACTTCATCTCTGTAGAGAATTGATGTGAACATTTTAATGTTTTTAATATGCATAAGATTTATTTCTTATACATGTAAATATATATGAAATAAGATCATATTATACTCATCTTATTTTTTATTATTTTTTGGTGATGTTAATTTTTAAAAATTATACTTTTTTTCTTTAGTTATTTTTCAAGTACAGTTTTTTGTCTATTTCTCCCATCCCAGCCCCCACCCCATCCCGTGCTCCCCACCTCCCTCCCATCTCCACCCCCCCAGCTCTCGTCCCTGCGTCCTTCACATTTGTTCCTCCAAATCCCTCCCCCCCTTCCCCCTTAAATTCCCTGCCCTCTCCCCTCTGGTCACTGTCCCCTTGTTCTCTATTTCAGTGTCTTTGTTTGCTTGTTCGTTTTGTTGTTTAGCTTCCTGTTAAAGGTGAGATCATATGGTATTTGTCTTTCAACACCTGGCCTATTTCACTCAGCATAATGCTTTCCAGTTCCATCCATGTTGTTGCAAAGGGTAGTAGCTCCTTCTTTCTCTCTGCTGCATAGAATTCCATTGTGTATATGTACCACAATTTTTTGATCCATTCATTTACTGTCGGGCACCTAGGTTGCTTTCAACTCTTGGCTAGTGTAAATTGTGCTGCTATGAACATTGTGGTGCGTAGGTTCTTTGAAATAAAAATTATACTTTATTAATTATGCTTTTAAGGTTGTCCCAAATTTTCCCCCTTTCCCCCCATCCACCCAGCACGTCTCACTCCCTCAGGCAATCTCCAACCCATTGTTCATGTCCATGGGTCATGCATATAAGTTCTGTGGCCACTCCATTTCCTGTACAGTACTTTACATGCCCATGGCTGTTCTGTAACCACCTATTTGTACCTCTTGATCCCCTCGCCTCTTCACCCATTCCCCACACCCTCCTCCCATCTGGTAACCATCAAAACACTCTCTGTATCCATGATTCTATCTCTGTTCTTCTTTTTTAAAAAAATATTTAATTAATTAATTTTTTAGAGAGAGGGAGAGAAACATCAATATGTTTTTCTTTTCCATGCCCCCTACTGGGGACCTGGTCTACAACCCAGGCATTTGATGCCCTAGACTGGGAATCGAATTGGTGACCCTTTGATTCATAGGCTGGCACTCAACAGTGAGCCACACCAGCCAGGGCTCTATCTCTGTTCTTATTTGCTTAGTTTGTTTTTTAGATTCAATTTTTGATAGATATGTATTTATTGCAATTTATTGTTCATAGTTTTGATTTTCTTTTTCTTAAATAAGTCCCTTTAACATGTCATATAATAATGGTTTGGTGATGAGAAACTCCTTATTTGGGAAGCTCTTTATCTGCCCTTTGATTCTAAATGGTAGTTTTGCAGGGTAGAGCAATCTTGGCTGTAGGTACCTGCTTTTCATGACTTTGAATATTTCTTGCCAGTCCCTTCTAGTCTGCAAAGTTTCTTTTGAGAAATCAGCTGACAGTCTTATGGGAATTCCACTGTAGGTAGCTAACTGCTTTTCTCTGTCTGCTTTTAAGATCTTCTCTTTATCTTTAACCTCTATCATTTTAATTATGATGTGTCTTGGTGTGGGCCTCTTTGCATCCATCTTGTTTGAGACTCTCTGTGCTTCCTGGACTTGCATGTCTATTTCCTTCACCAAATTAGGGAAGTTTTCTTTCATTATTTTTTCAAATAGACTTCCGATTTCTTGTTCTTTCTCTTTTATTTCTGGTACCTCTATGACGTAAATGTCGGAATGCTTGAAATTGTCTCAGAGGCTTCTTACACTATCCTTATTTTCTCATTTTTTTGGATTCTTTTTTCTTCTTGGTGTTCTGATTGATTGTTTTTTTGCTTCCTTATGTTCCAAATCATTGATTTGATTCTTGGCTTCTTCTACCTTACTGTTGAATTTCTGTAGATTATTCTTTATTTCAATTAGTATAACCTTCATCTCTGACAGTTCTTTGTGGTGTTGAGATCTTCACTAAGTCCTTGAGCATCCTTATAACCAGTGTTTTGAAGTCTGCATCTGATAAGTTGCTTATCTCCATTTCATTTAGCTCTTTTACTGAGTTTTGATCTGTTTTTTCATTTGGGCCATGTTTCTTTATCTCCTTGTTTTGGTGGCCTCTCTGCATTTGTTTCTATTATTAGATAAAGCTGCTTTGACTCCCTGTCTTGGTAGGGTGGCCCGATGTAGTAGGTGTCCTGCAGGAGCCAGTGCACGGCCTCCCCTATCACCCAGGCTGGGTACTTGAGGTGCACCCTTCATGTAAGCTGAGTACATCCTCCTTTTGTAGTTGAGCCTTGATTGCTCTTGTCAGATCAATGGGAGGGATTTACCCAGGCCAGTTAGCTGTAGGGACTGGCTGCGACCATGGACCACCAGCCTCTGCCCTCCGTGGAGGATCAGCTCTACAGGGGCAGGGTGGTGGTGCTTTGACATGGTCTGTAACTGTCCACTGGTTGCATAGGCTTTGGGGTTTCTTGGGTGGTGCAGGCTAAAGTCAGCTCCCACCAGTGTTCTGCCTGGAGCTCACTCTGCATGAACTATAAAGCAATCTGAAGATGGCCAATACTTCACCTTGGAACCTATAGGCTGAGCTATGGGTTCCCAGGTGAAGCCAAGCTGTGAACCTAGGCTGGCTGTTGCTAATGCCAGGTGTGGTGCCACTTAGCAAGACACATGGGCGCTGGGGGCTTACTGAGGCCTGCTGTTGCTTGTTTGGTAGGATTTAGAAAGTTGTGAAGCATGTACCACAACCAGCCATTCATATGGAAAAGCCTCTGTTAACAGCTTGGGTGGGCCCATAAGGTGGGTGGGAGGCTCAGGGAATCTCCAGGGCAGGGCAGACAGCGTTAGCCAGGTTGATGGAGTCTTAGATAAGGCACCCACCTGCTGGCTCTGTGGCTCTGTGAGTGGAGAGTTCAGAAAAGGAACAATGATCTCTGCCCACATTTCTGTCTGGGAGAAAGCTGTCCCCCAGCTCTTGCCCTGATGCCAGACATCTCAGTTCCTTCCTTTATGCCACTGGTGCCTTTCAAGCTGCTATGCAGGTTCTGGAGCTCAGAGGGAGTGAGTCTGAGTAAGTTGGTGTGTGGGTCCTTTAAGAGGAAGTACTTGGGACTCCAGAAGTTTCTTTCACTGGCTCAATCTCCACTGGTTTTTGCAAGCAGAAATAATGGGGACTTATCTTAGTGACACTGGAATCCGGGGCTGGGGGGCCTGGTGTGGGGCTTGGACTCCTTGCTCCCGAGATACCCCTCCTGAATTTTTATCCACCACATGGGGGTGTGGTACCAGGCCGCCTCCACATCTCCACCCCTCCTACCTGTGTGGTTTCTTTAAATCTGTACTTGTTGGACTTCCATTCAACTCGATTTCTGATGGGTCTGAGCGATGGTTGTTCTATATTTGTAATTTTGATATGTGGTTGTTCGAGGAGGCAAGCTGTGTTTACTTATGCCTCCACCTTGACTGAAAGCCCTATGCTACTCTTTAAAACCTGCCTTTTCCCACCCTGCATTTACTCACTCTTCCACAGTCACCTGTTTATCTGTCCATGTCTGCTGCCCCTCAACTTTAAGCTCCTTGAAAGCAGGGACAGTGTTTGGGTCCCCAGTATCTAGAACAGTACCCACCACAAAATGTGCTCAGAGAAATGTTCGTTGAATAAGCAAAGTAGTTCAATTCTCTACAGTTCTTTTGGAAAGTTTCCTTTGTCCTTGCAATCTTTTTTATACAGTTTGTTCAACAAAGCCTTTTCAAAAATACTTAGGGGAGATTTATTTTACCCCAATGTCAAAATTATCACATGATCTGAGTGGGGGAGTCTGAGTCATAGCATTTTTTTTTGCTCTATCTGCACGCTACTGAAGTTCAAAGATATCAGTAGATGCATTTATTTAAACTGGAGAGCTAGCTGTACGAGACTCGTGAGTTATTGAACTGGGGTTCTTTATGATTTTGGGGCAACATAGTCTAAAATGAGACAGCAGATCACGTTCGGATCCTGCCGACGTGTGTTTTATCTTTAAATTCTCTGAAGGTCCATTTTCTTTTCAAGTGGAAATGATTCTATTGGCCCTACTTATCAAAGATTATTAGTAGGGAGCAAACACAAGCAATATGAAGTTGCTTTGAAACTATTCTAATACAGAGGTAATGTAATCTTGTGGAAAAAGAGCCTATGATTTGATAACAGATAACTTATAGCTGGAAACCTTGGCCATGGCCATATATCTCACGAAAAGCTACTTAAACCAGAAGGGACTGCTTTTTCTGCTGACACTCAACGTGCTTAGCTGTAGGCAGCCCTTTCGACTGCCAGGGAGTTCGGCACCCAACAGGGGACCTAGCCCACAACCCAGGCATGTGCCCTGACTGGGAATCGAACCGGTGACCATCCCATTTGCAAGCTAGCACTCAGTCCAATCAGCCACGCCAGCCAGGGCTCAGCTCGGTGGTTTTTAGTGTAGTCACAGAGTTGTGCAACCATTACAATTTGAGAACATTTTCATTACCCCCCCACAAGGGTAATTTCTTTTTTTTTTTTTTTAAGATTTTATTTATTTATCTTTAGAGGGGAAGGGAAGGAGAGAGGGAGAGAAACATCAGTGTATGGTTGCCTTTCGTGCGTCCCCTGCTGGGAATTGGCCTGTAGGGACCCGGCCCGCAACCCAGGCATGTGCCCTGACTGGGAATCGAACCGCGATTGTGTGGGGTAATTTCATTACCCATCCTCTGTAGCTGTCACCGTCTCATGTGGGCCACTCCCCCCAGCCTTCAACAACCACTAATCTCCTTTTTTCTGTCTATAGATTTGCCTATTCTGGGCATTTCATGTAAATGGAATCACCAGCATGTAGTTTTTAGTGTCTGTCTCTTTAACTTCGCATAATGTTTTCAAGGTTCATCAACGTAGTAACATGTATCAGTACATCATTACTTTTTTAAAAATTGTGGTAAAATATATGTAGCCAGACATTTGCCATTTTATCCATTTTAAGCGTACCATGCAGTGTCGTTAATTATACTTTCAATGTTGTGCACTTATCGCTACTGTTTCAAAAATATTTTCTTCGCCCCAAACAGGAACTCTGTATGTAATAAGCCATAGTTACAAAGTATCTCCTCTCCCCAGCCCCTGGTACTCTAATCTGCTAAATTTACATATTCTCTGTCTCTAGGAGTTTCCTATTGTAGATATTTCATATAAGTGAGATCATACAATATTTGTCATTTTGTGTTTTGGCTTATTTCACTTAATATAATGTTTTTTAACAAGTCTTTTTTTAAAAAATTCTCACCTGAGGATATGTTTCTATTGATTTTAGAGAGGGGAAGGGGAAGAGAGAGAAAGGAGAGAAAGAAACAGTGATGTGAGGGAGAGACATCGATGGGCTGCCTCCTGTACGTGCCCCGGCTGGGGACTGAACCCATCACCTGTGTATGTGCCCTGACCAGGAATCGAACCCGCAACTCTTTGGTGTACGGGACAATGCTCCAACCAACTGAGCCACTTGGCCAGAGCAACATAATGTTTTTAAGGTTCTTCCATGTTTCGTATATATCAGAACTTCATTCCATTTTATGTCTGAATAATATTCCACCGTATGTATAGGTGACATCTTGTTTGTCCATTCATCGTTGATGGACATTTGGGTTGTTTCTCCTTTGGGGCTCTTATGAATAGTGCTGCAGTGACTATTTGCATACACGTATCTGTTTGAGTCTTTGTTTCCAGTTCTTTTGGCATACTTTAAATGCCTAGGAGTGAAATTGCTGCGTTGTGTGGCAATTCAATATTTAAACTTTTGAGGACCCACTAAACTTTTTGAGCATGCATCTTGTGAATGTGTTTTAGTCTCTCAAATCGTGAATCAACAAATTATATGCTCACGGATGTGTATGGAAGAGTAGGCTTAGTTATTATCATGGGTGAGAGTAGTTCTAGTGTAAGATGTGTATGATCAGACTCTAAATACCAGTTTAAGCACATGGAAGAATCTAACCCTTCTGCTTCCTTTCCAGCCCTGCGGCAGATGTGGATCTGAAATCCTCCTCCTCACGTTCTGATCACTGCTCCGAAACCTCATTGCCTGAAGTCCAAAAGGATAAATATCTGGAGGAGTTTAGCATGCTAAAGTTACAGACAAGTAAGTAAGTCAGAGACCCTCCTCCATACTCAGGGTCTTCCCACAAGCCTGCCACACTGTCGGGCGCCACGCACTGAAGACCCACTGCGCGCCAGGCATTCAACAGCGTCATCGCTCACTGTTGTAACTACTCTGCTGGGGAAAACACCAGGACATGTTTTTCAAAAATGAAGTGCCTTTGTATGAAAACCACAAAAGAGCTATCAAAATGCTAAAATAATAAAGAAGCGTATAAAGCGTATAAAGAAACCCCTTCCCCAGTATTCTTCAACGATGTCTGCCCAAGAGCTGTGAAGAGTTTAATATATACAACATTCTTCTAAAAGTTTGAAATGCATGTGTTTGTATGTATAGATGGGTAGGTCGTAGTATCAACCATGTTTTCACTAGTAGAAAATAGTACACAAACTGTTTTCACTCACTGTATAGATCCTGGACCTCTTTCTGTGTCCATTCACACAGATCTACATGGCCAGTAGAAACCTACCCATTTTACACAGAAGGAGACTGAGGCTTGGAGTGGTTCAGCGACCCGTACAAGTACACATAGCTAGGACATGGAGTGATGGGGTTAGAACCACACTCGCCTGCCTCCAAAGCCTATGTTCTTTCTTAGCCACCACAGAACCCAGGTGTTTTTCAAGCAACCCGTTAGCTATTGGTGGATCTTTTATTGTGTAAAATTACTTCAGCAATTTTATAGGAAAAGTATAGAATGAGGAGACAAGGACACCGAGGGGTCCAGTAACTTGCCCCAGGCCTCGGAGGAGTCTTTCTCGTTTGCCTCAGTCACATGTGTTCATACTCTGGTGTCATCGTAGTGCACGCGTGTGCCGCTGTTGCTGCCGACACCATGCTCCATCCAGGTAAGCTGCCATGCTGGCCTGCCCTTCCTGGGTGATGGGCATTCTCTTCTTCCTACCCACTGATCAGAGTGAGGGTTGGATCATAGGTGCTTGTAAAACTGTCTCTGAGCTTCCTGACCTGTACATCACTTTCAACCATAAAATTTTCTTTCTTTTTGGAGGAGAGGATAAAAAAGAAAAGAGGCCTCTTAGATGGTTTTCTCCCCCCTTCCCTTCCTTTGATGTCTTGCCCCACAGAGACTAATACTGGGCTGGTGGAGAGCCAAGGAGTTATGCACATTGACAAAGGTCGTACAGCCAGAGAGTGCGCGGGAGTTTCCGCAACCTTTCGGCATCCCATTGCAGTGTGAAGCTGGGAGCAGTGCTAATGGAAGGATTTCTGATGTCTTGCAGAAGATGGGCAGCGTCCCGAGTGGACCTTTTACCCAAGGTTTAGCAACAGTGTCCACACCTACCATGTCGGAAAGCAGTGCTTCTTTAAGGGGGTCTTCCTCGGCAACAAGAGGTCTCTAGCGGAGAGGACGGTGGACAAGTGCCTCGGGAGGAAGAAATATGGTAATGTCTTCCTCCTGGCCCCCGACTGTGCAATGCCTGCAAACACCCTTGAGTCGTGATTCCACAGCCCCAGCATTTCGAGGCTGGGGGCCGCCCAGTGGGGCCACCGTGTCAGCCCAGTGCAGCCGGGAGGATAGGAAAATGCAGGCGATGGTTGGCAGGCTGCAGTTTTTGGCAAAGAACTCACAGCATACGCTGATCCACATTTTCGTTTTTCTCTGAATTTCATGAAATGCTAATGTGACATTTAAGTCATCAGATAAGTTCTCTCAGATACTTATTAATAGAAACCTCATTGAAGTTTGAAGAAAATCATTTATGTTTCAGTTAGATGCTGCCTGTCATATGCATTTAAATTGTGCTTTATATTCTTTACGAGGAAAACATTCCATAAACCTCAGCCTAAGTGTACATTGTTATTTCATAGCTTATTTAATGACAGGTAATTGACATGAGCATTTATATCTATCTACCTGCCTACCTACCTACCTACCTACCTACCTATTTACCTATCTGTTCGTCTGCTTGGTTTGTAACTAGGTGAGCTCTCTGTCTCAACCTGTCCATGGTTTATTGAAGACCTAAAGGTCGCCGAGTCCTGCAGACTGTTTATGGCACCCTCTTCTCCTCCGCAGAAATACCTGCGTAGGAGGCAGCCACTGCTTCGGGAATGAACAGACTTGCTGTAGCAGGAATACAAAGAGAAAAAAATAGAAAGTTCTCATTTTTTAGCTTTAAAATAGGCTTTTAAACTCGTATCACTGACAAGTAGTTTTGAAAACTAAGAACTTTGTTTAGATAGAGAATACACCAAAAGCCAGACTAGAGCAGGTAGGAGGGTAGTCACTGATATGGGGACTTGGAGGAGCCCAACTCCCCAGACCAGACTCTAGTGGGTGATAGGATGTGAATCTAGCTGGGGCTTTTGGCTGGTGGACAAGCTTGAGCCTTAGAGGGAGGTGGCATCTGCCCTGACTCTGAGCTGGAGAGTAGTGATAGCTGTGGGCAATGGGTGGGCAGAAAGCCAGCCTCAGAGTGTCGCTCACCTGGGAGGTGTGGAATAACAGCTGCATTTGTGTGCCCTGTGGAGGCCGTGGAGATTGGGGCAGAGAGAAACAGTGAGAGAAAGAGAGAGCAAGCCCGGGGAGCTGCCCAGCTCTCACACTGGACCACCATGGTATGATGCACTGCGGGTCATCAAGCCAGGGATCTATGAGAATAAATTTATGCTTCGCCTGATGCATTGTGGAAGGGGATGGCTTCCTGAGGCTCAGCCTGGATGCCACATTTTAGCAGACAACAGAAATAGATGCCGCCTCTCAGAGAATAGCAGAGATAAGGCAAGCAGAAGATACCAGTGTGGTTTGCAGACGGTAACTCAGGCCCCAAAGCCTTCCACTAAAGCCCTGATGTCATGTACGCTTGCTGTGACACCCCTCCTTCCCACTCCCAACTGAGATGCAGCCGCAGGGCAGAACAGGAAGGATTTATTTAACTGGTTTAAATCTGAAACAATTGAGAAAAAGCAAGAAGAAACTAAGTTTAGCTGTATATTACTTACAAATGCTCTTGGCCACAAGTAAGAGAAAAACCAAATTATCAGAGGCTTAAATCATAAGATATTTATTATGTACCTAATAAGCCTTGAAATCCAGGCAGCCTGTATGGTCTGGTTGTCCAGTAACGTCATCAAAGGAAAGGCTCATTCTGTCTGTATGCGCAGTGTCACTCTCAGTAGTGTTGGCTTTTTGTCTTATAAAAAAACGCTTATCATTTCATGGTCACAAGATAACTGCTGCATGCATAACTCTAAGCATCGTGTCTCTATTTAAGACTAGAGAAAGAGGAAACTCTGTTGTTGCCTTCCCCTTTTAGAAGGAAGAAAGACTTTTACTGTATGGTCCTTAGGAGACTTTCTCCCACTCATTTCTCACTGAGCAGAACTGGGCTAATGACAAGTACGTATCAAAAGTGAGTGGCATGCCCTGGCCAGGTGGCTCGGTCGGTCGGAGTGTCCTCCCACACACCAAAAGGTTGCAGAGTGGTCCCTGGTCCAGGGGCATACGAGAGGCAGCTGACTGATGCTTCTCTCTCACATCGATATTTCTCTCCCCCTCCCCCTTCTCTCAAAATCAGTGAACCTATCCTTGGACGAGGAGCAAAAATTAAGAAGTGAGTGGGATCATCATGATGGTCCAAGTCCTAACCCTAATGTATCACTCCCCTTTTAACTCAGCAGTAAAATCATCCTAAAGTTTGTGATTATTCCTTTTCCTTCTTTCCTTCTTCCTTCCTTCTTTCCTTCCTTCCTTCCTTCCTTCCTTCCTTCCTTCCTTCCTTCCTTCCTTCCTTCCTTCCTATTTTTAAAAATAAATACTGAAGGATATTTATTGAGTATATAGAATAAAATTTTATACTTATATGCATCTCACTCTATTTAAGAAATGGCATATTATCTTTCTATCTGAAACCTCCAGTAGGCCCCCCCCAAAACACAACACCTTTCCTCCCCCTATTCCAACGATAACCCCTCTTTCTACCTTTATTAAAAAGAAAATCTTTTTATTAAGGACACTTTCAAACACGTGTAAAAGTAGAGAGAAGAGCATAATGGAACCAGATGTGCCCGTCACTTAGCTTTAGCAGGGACCAGTGTGTGACTAATCTTGTTTCATTTTGCCCCTCTCCCCCAGGGGCTGTTTTAAAGCAAGTTTCAGACGTCCTGTAGTTTCATCTGTAAACATATCAGTGTGTCCCTCTAATAGATAAGGATTGTTTTTATCAGCACGATCATGATGCCTTTCTCATATTTCATTCGTGTCGCCAAATATTGTCAGTGTTCATATACCCAACTGCTTCACAAATGCCAATTAAAAATATTTATAATGTGTTTGAATTAAGGTCTAAATAAGATTCACCCTTAGCACTTAGTTGAAAAGTCTCTTTTAATGTACAGGTTCTTGCCCCCTTTTTCCCCTTGCAGTTTATTTGGTGCACAGCTGGGTCATTTGTCCGTAGCGGACAGTTTGCCACAGTCGGGATGTAGCTGACTACATGTCTGGATACCGTGTAACAGGCTCCTTCGTCCTGTGGATTTCTCGTAAACCGATACTTGATTCGTCGTAGGGTGGTGACTTCTTCTTAGGTGGTGTGGTACAACGACTTCTTTAAACATCAGATGCAGTGGTTTTTTCCCATTTCTTCTCTTTCTTGGTTTTCTGCAGCACTTAATGTTACCGAGCTTGACACCAAACACTGCTTTGTGAAATTCTCTCCTCTCTCATTATTTTCTTTTAAAAAATCTTAAAATTTTTTCAGTTGACACTCAATATTATATTAGTTTCAGTTGTACAACATAATGATTAGACATTTATATGATTTATGAAGTGATTCCCCGGATAAGTCTAGTCCTCACCTGGCACCATGCATAGTTAATGCAATATGATTGACCATATCCCCTGTGCTGTACTCCACATCCCTGTGGCTGTTTTGTAACTGCCAATTTGTACTTCTTAATCCCTTCACCCTTTTCAACCAGCCTCCCAGCCCTCTTCCCATCTGGCAACCATCAGTTTTTCTCTGTATTTAATGCTCATTAGTTCTTGAACAAGATGGAGAGACAGCTTCAGGAACTGTCATTTTGAACTGGAATCAATACATTATAGAAAAAATATATTTAACTAATAGTTGACTCCCAGCAGCTGTGAGTGGAGTTCTCTAAAGGCTTAATTTGTTGTCATAGGTGGAAAAACAAAATGTTCTCTATGATTATAGGTTGTAGGGAAGTAGATCTGAAAAAATATTTATTCTCTTGTATAGGTCTGCCTACAGTAGAGCACACTGTAGTAGTCAGAATGGGTTGGATTCTGCCGCAGTAACAAACTACCTCTGAAATCGTGGCAGCTTAGTCAAAGTTTACTTTTCCTCTTGTAAAGTCCACTGTGGTCCAGTGGCTCTCCGGGGCAGCTCCCTTCTAAGTGGTGACTCAAGGATCTCTTTTGCTTTCACCCTGTGCCTCTCCATCTCAATATGCGGCTCCCAAGGCTGCCATGGCAGGAGAAAGAGAAAGTGCTGGTGGGTCACGTGTCAGCTCTTAAATACTTCTTTCTGGATGTGGCACACATCACCTCTGCTCATAGCCTGTTGGTGAGGCTATGGCTCTACCTGACTGCCTCTGGGTGGAGAGACGTGGGACAGAATATGCTCTTTTGGTGAACAGTTTGCTCCTTCATCCATTTCTTTGATTTTAATGTGTAGGTCCCATTTTCTACCTCCTGAACGTCTTCATAGCTTGGAGATTGGATGGTGCACCCCAAAGCATAAACAGGCATGATGCGTTATGAATCTATCAGCTTTTGATATACAGTGGCCAGCACTTAGGGCTGATACCTGGTTTTGTTGAATATTCAGAAATTATGCCAAGATCCCACATTATACCTCATAGCTTAAACACACGTGTTATCTCAGCGGTGTCGTCTGGTAGGTCTTCCCCTAAAGGTTACACCTTATACTTGGACACCAGCGTTTGTTCTTCTCTACTGGTGACCTTATCCTGTGACCTCCAGCAGGGTCCTAGGCGTCACAGTCAGCTGGAGAGTTTACGCAAAATGCGTGTTCTGGGAGCTACTCCAGACTTTCCGAAACAGAATGTCTGAGGTTGGGACCCAGGAAGCTGCATTGTTAACACATTCCCTAGAGGATTCTGAGCGAGGCTGAAATTTTAGGACTACCGTTCTGTAGTGTACAGCATTTGCCACCTAGTGTAATATTATTTAATCTCCTAATATATGTCCCCATCTAGATAAGATTCCCTAGGAAAAGATCCCCAGGGATGTCCAGCCTCTCAGTGTCTCTTGGGCCACACATTAAATACACAAACACCAACAAAAACTGATGAGCAAAAAAGGTCTGTGCATAATTGTCATGATATCTGTCACCACAGATAAAGCGAAAAAGTCCTCACGCAATAGCCCTAATTATGCAGTGGCCCTTTCGATGATCTTTTAAAATCGTGGAGCAGGTCCCAAGTTTCTGATCACTAATATAGAAAATGTATGTGTCTAAGTGATAAAGCTTAGTATAAAACTTAGTGATAAAACTAAGTAATATTTTAAGTGAATTTACGATTTTGTGTTGAGCCCCATTACCAGCCATCCTGGGCTGCGTGCGGCCCACAGGCCACGGGTTGGACACCCCTGGTTTATACCCTCGCTAGATGGCAATTGTGTTTTCCAGAGTAAAAAACAAATTTGGAATGGGGTGGTTTAGCCTGGTCTTGACTTCAATAATAATTAACAAATGTTACCCAAGTGCTGATTATGGGTCTGGATTATTCTAATGGAGTATTCATGATAACTCTGCAAAGTACACATTTGAAATAAACAGTTTAAACAGTTTATAAACAAGGTTGGAGAAGTTAAATAGCTAAAGAGCACAGAACTAGAAACTGCAGAACTGAATTTGCGCTCAGGCATGACTAACTCCAAAGTCCCAGCCCTTCCTGCCTCTTGCTGTCCCCGACCTTTATTTATCAGTGCCCTGGTTTGGGATTCAAAAGACAGGGCCACTCCACTCTCCTCACCTTGAACCCCCCACACTTGTACCCGGCAGGCACCATCGTGGGTGGAGGCAATGCTATTCACCACACTTCAGAGCTAATAAAAAGTTCAGATGAAGAGTCTTAGCAACCGAAAAGGCTTTTGAGAGAAAATGGTTAAAAAAATAAGTTCTCCAGTACTTCCACCTATTGTGAGGTAGTTTCTCTGAGTTAGCTGGAGGAAAATAGCTTATCAAAAACCTTCCCTAGCTCTCCCGTTGCCTTGCCTCATGGGTACAAATGAATTGAGAAACAGCAAAACCAACATCTAAAAAGAAAACAGTGAGGCCTGTGCATTGGGTGTGTGGGCTAAGGTGGAGGACTTGCCTCCAGCCACGCATCCTGCTTCTAATTGCCACCACTCAGAAACTTAATTTTTTTAATGTGGTCACCCCTCTCTTCCCCTCCCTGCCCCTCCCCTTCCCTTCTTTCCACCAGCCTCACCCAGCACCTGATTTACCCACTTCCCTCTCCCTTGCTTAATGGTTAAGCCCTCAGGACAATGAAGCTCTGGTCAGCATGCAGCCATCTTAGGTCCTGGGTCTATTGATTATAGAGACAGAGTTTTCAGTCACACTAAAGATAATATCTTGGCCTCAGTTTTGTTTTGCTCCACGTCCAGAAAAGCAGAACAATCCCACCAGACAAATCCTTGCAGACTCAGAAAGAAGAACTCCATGGCTGACCTCAGGACCAGATGCAGTGATCGATTACCTCCTGCCCTACAGCAACCAATCAGCAGAGACCACAATCCTGACTTCTTTACCCACCATGATTAATGATATTTTCCCTATATAATCCATTCTTTGGAAGCCGGTCAGGGAGCCAGGTCTTTGAGGATTAGCTCACTTGTGACTCTGAGCATGGTACCATCTCCTTGATAAATCCTTACTTTCTCGGCTGCAAACTTCTGTTTGTGTCTTACTGTGCTTTGGTGAGCACAGGCAAACGGACCCGTCTGGTCCAGTAGCGTGATCCCAGGGCTGGTTAGTTTTGCAGTCCAGGCTTGTTCTCTTAGGAGGGGCATCTGGTGTCATGTGTGGGTTTAGATAACTAACTTGTACCCGCTGCTTCTTTTCAAGCTTAAGTGATTACTTGTTTATTACCTGCCCCCAGCAGGGTGTCGGAGCAGCTGCTGAATAAGCATTGTGTGCGCAGCAGCCCTTCTCCTGGCTCCTCGGCACCCGGCAAGGCCGCCTGCTGCTGCCGCACTGCCCCAGTCCTTGAAGCAGCAGGAGGGGAGGACTCGCATGAGCTGATTTCCTCCTGAGGACCAGAGAGGCAGAGCTTTAGTGACAGTAGCTTCTAGAGCTTCATAGGACTCAGGGGTTCAAAGAGCACTAATGCTCAGGGATGAAACGATTTAAATCGGAGTTCTCACTGGTTGTAGCAGTGATACCTCTGATTCATCATTCATTTTATCCACACCTCTGGTATTCTTCTTTCCCAGGGTAAGATAATCATAACAACACCTTTTAGAAAAGGTCTCAAACATAGGCTCACACTTTTATCTTCTTCTCAAGATAAGACAATTATAAACAGGATTTTAAGATACCTATCTGTACCTCATAATAAAGCCCTAAATTATCTTATTTCCGTTGTCATGTCAACAGTGCAAATCCGTGGATATCTTTAGCTGTTTTTGTGATTTTTAAAAAACATCTTTCACAGATATTGACCCCAGGAATGGAATCCGGAAGTTAACCCCAGGAGATAATCTATATATGTACCCGGAGCAGAGCAAAGACTTCCACAAAGTAGGGTCAACTCTCCCACCAGTGAATTTTTCAATGTAAGTATATGCTAATACTAGGGTTATTTAGTTAAATTTAAAGGAATTGTGTCTTTCTCTACTACAAGTAAGTTATATTTTAAAAGGGATAGATCTCCACAAAATCTGGTTGGCGAAAATTCCTAAAAATGTCCATATTTACTTTGTTAGTGTATGCATACATATGAGTGTTTAGTTGAAATTACACAAAGGACCTTTACTACAAAAATGTGGTTGTTAATTTTATTCCTATTATTGCCACAGATTTGAAGACTTTAAGTTTCACGCTGTGTCAGGTTGTTGGTTAGTGACTGCCAGTTGGGCGCGTTTGCGCTTGGAACTAAACTCAGACTAAAGCGGTTTAGGAGAAAGGGAGGGTCATTAAATTAAAAGAAAAATAGTTGATGTATTACATTAAAATACTAATTAAAAAATTAAGCATGTTTGACTTAACAATGTTCACTAAAATGATAAAGCTAATACGAGTTATGGCCCTTACAGTTTTGAAGCCCATACATGACAATTAAAACAGAAAATAAGACATTTATTGAACACAGTGATGTATCGATCTCTGCCACAGGAGGAAAGCCAGTTTTTATGGTCACCTTTTCTGTTTTCAGAGTGCCGTATGAAAAGAAATTTGATACGTTTATTCCACTTGAGCCTCTTCCACAAATTCCCAAGTGAGTGTTCTCATCATGTTCTTTATTATCCTATCTTTATGAAAATATCAATTATTTATTATGTTCTCCTGTGGAGGAAGTCACAGACACCGCCCACACAGGGACATTTTGAGTCTCGGCAGGTGGGTGGGCGGTTTGTACAAGGTCTCGGAGAGACACCTGGAGGCAGGTGTCTGTGGGACCTGACGGCGGGGCTGCTCTGAAGAGACCGTTGACAGACCGCCAGACACGTGTGGTGCGCTAGCTGTGCGCCGTCTGGGGGCGGGTTATATGGAGCTAGAAGACAGGCTCCCTGATTTCCCAAACACAAAGGTTTGTAGGCAAAGAAAGACACATACTTATATGAGTGCAGCCAGTGAGGATGGTTAGAGTTTGAACAGGCGGAGAGAAAGACATTGGAATATTCTGTATTTGAAGGAAGTGCCAGTCATCTGATCTCATATTTTCCCTTAATTCCACTCAGAACTTTACTTATTCACCCAGGTACAGTTCTAACCTAGAAAAAGATGTGTTGATGTATCACTTTTTGTCCTGCTATTTTTATTTGGGCTGCTTCTATTGGTTTGTCTTTAATGACGGCCTTGAATTATAACCTTGACTCACACCTATTGTGTATATGTTAAGTCTCCTCTTCCTCCTTGCAAGGATTTGCGTACTCTAGGCAGGTTTATCAGGGCTTTTCCTCAATTACAGTGCATTTCTGCTTTAAAGGATGAAAGTTCTAGCTGCCAAAACATAAAAACATTTTTCATCTCCCTGCTTTGACTCACCCCAGGAGTCACACTGCCTGATGTCTGCACACAGTGCAGCCCAGCACATGCGATCTGAAATCTCAGCAGGCCCGGGAGGACCAGCCTGTGAGAGCTCATGCGGGTGGGTGAAGCACCCAGGGGCTCCCCACAGTGGGAAGCTCTTACTAGTCCTAGGTATGAGCAGTAAGAGGAGGGATCAGGTCTGCAGGGCAGTGAGAGATGGAGGCTGTGGCCGTGGAGAATGCAGCCCTGCTAGAACTGGGGTACTCAGGAGACGGGGCGGGAAGTAGGTAGAAATACCCCAAGCCCACTCTTCTCACCTTCTGAGTTCCTGCTGGTGCCTCTCACTCGCCCAGCCCAGCGCACAGGGGAGCAGGGAGGAGCCAGGGTGATGACGGCTGCAAGGGCAGCTTCCCAAACAGAAAAGGGCAGAAAAAAGACCTGGGTTTGGGCAGGGGCAAGTGGTGAACGATGAACATGGAGTTTTATTTTGACACTGGTCTAAATTGGAGGCCTTCTTACTGACCATGTTTATAAATTTTGCATCAGACGAATGCAAACTCAGGGTGTTTTCTTCTTCCAGCTTGCCTTTCTGGGTAAAGGAGAAGGCCAACGTGCTGAAGAATGAGATAAGAGAAGTTGAGGAACTTGACAATTGGCAGCCAGCAATCCCTTTGATACACAGTTTATTCTCCACTGGTGGGTTCAAAACCTTCAAAGGATAGCATAAAAACTGGAGACACGCCCAGAGCAGCAGGCTTTTGAGAGGGTTCCCCATGGGGAGGAGGAAAGGTGGAGCCTCTCCCAGAGCGGGTGTTGTGTTTGGCAGGTGCTGTGACTGCACTTCATGGGTCGAGTGGTTGGTTTTTGTTTTTAAAGTTTGTTTGTTTATTTATTTATTTTTAGAGAGAGGGGAAGGGAGGGAAAAAGAAAGGGAGAAAAACACCGGTGTATGAGAGAAGCATCCATGGGTTGCTCGATCGCCTCTCACACACACCCCACCTGGGGCCAGGCGTGGGACCCGGCAGGCGTGTGCCCTGACCTGACCCGGAGGGGAACGATGCTCAACCAAGTGAGCCGTGCCAGTCGGGACGAGAATGCTTAGTCTTTCATGGAACTCAACCTTGACTGCCGTGCCTCTACCCGCAGGTACTTTGGACTTTCCAAGACAGCCCTGAGCGGAAACAGGCCCACGGAGCATGCGCCGCGCGCCCTGGGCGCCTCCTTCTGTCGCCTGCTCCTGTTGGCGTGCCGTTCTCAGTCCAGTGTTTGACAAGGCGTCACTGTGCTGGTTTTTTTTTAACTTTGTGTTTTGAAAACTTTCAAGCTTGCAGAAAATTTACAAGAATTGTACAATGAACAAATACCTGCGTATCCTTCACCTGTGTTCTGCGCTTGTTCACACCTGTCCAAGTTTGTGTGTGCGTGCTCTCGTATCATTGCTGTTATTATTTTGCTGAATTATTCAAGAGTAAATGGCAGGCATCATAACCCTTACTCCTACATACCTATAAACCTCAGTGTGTGTCTCCTAAGGTCAAGGATGTTCTCCAACAATCACAATACAAACATCAAGTTCATAGAATTCAACGTTGATACAATACTCCCACTATATAGTCCACATCCAGTTTTATTCAGTCAAATTTAGTTTTCTAAGGATGCGCTCAAATCAATGGTAAAATGCAGATATTTGAGTTTTCGTTAAATTTAATAAAATTATTTTCATTTCACTCATGCCTTTTGAGATTTTTCTCCACTATTCACTTGATACATGTCAGAAAAATGTGCAGGCTGGCTCTCCACCAGGTAACTGATGCCAGTGCCTGGTAGCTGCATTCCCTGTTTCCGTACTGTCTGTCCATGCAGCCAAGCAGAGTGACAGCTCAGGGAGCACCAGTCATGAATCCGAGGGTCTCTCATCAATCAGGCAAGGCGCAAACATTTGGAGGAAAAGGTACAAGACTCACATCCTTGTGTGGGCAGGCTGTGAGTCTCAGCAGTCAAACCGATGACTCAGCGTTTTCACAGCCAGTCTCCTTCTCCACTAAGGAGACCCCATGGGTTGGCTAATGAGGGGTGCAGATCTGGCTGTCCCGAAATCTTAAGAGTGGAAAGAGGGAATTGGGGCCCATGCTGAAACTCAAAATGCCCAAGACATGAGACATAATTCTTTTTCCTGTCAAAACATCATCTTCAGACAGAGCCAAATCGAATGAAGCACATCCATGCTGTCTTCGTACCTGCCTTTAGATGAACTACTGGAGAATGCGTGGCTACTGCCGGTTGCTGGGCCCAGCCGGTCTCAGGTTAGCATCAGCAGGCCTCTGTGCTAACTCTATTACCCCAGGACACGAGGCCGCCTTGCTACCCAGCAGGATGCAGGGAAGAAAATAAAGCCAAATAATTTAGAAATGGGAAAAAGAGGTTGCCAACAGATTTTTTCAAATACATTAACTTCCAAAAAAAATCTGTGTGCTTCTGTTACTTAAAATATAAAGATGCCATCTGCAACCACCTGTGTGAGTGGATAATGGGGAGGAACACAGTGTAGAGGTGCCAAGGTTCTGCAGGGGTTTCCAGATGGGATTGCCCAGGTGGAACTGGGAGCTGCTGGAGGGAAGGCGTCCTACACAGGAAAGGAGTTATGAAAAACAACTAACCAGTTTCACGGGATTTGTAGTAGTCTTAGGCTTCAAAGAGGTCTATATAAATCCTGGATGCTGCTCTAAGCTTGAGTAGATATGATTTTTAGAAATTATTAAATGAAAGTTTCAGGGCCAAATTCTATCCCCTGGAAATCAGGACACCTTTAAGTGGATTTGAGGTTCTCAGCAGCCTTATTCTACGCCACTCCCAAGGGCCGGTGGGCAAAGAGTCCCATCACCACTTTCAGATCAGATGTGCACACACATGCTTTGAGGAGATGAAGGCACAGGGTGTCCAACCCATGGCCCTCAGGCCACATGTGGCCGGGAATGCCTATGAATGTGGCCAAACACATCATTGTTCATTTAATTAAAACGTCATGAGATGTTTTTGTGATTACATGTCAGTGTATTTAATGTGTGGCCCAAGACAGCTGTTCTTCCAGGGTAACCCAGAGATGCCAAAAGGCTGGGCACCCCCGGAGGGAGGTGGCCAAATGCAAAGAGTGTGTGTCACAGCCCCTCCAGCCCCCCTTCTGTGTTGGTGCAAAGAGGCCGGCCCTCCCAGACACGAAGATCCTCTTCATTTCACTTTAGTTCTTTGGTAAATAAAAATGTCTGTGCACAGGTGTATGTGTGTGTGTACTCATTTCTTACTCTCGATAACAAGTTTGCAGGCTTAATAAGAACAACTTGTGTATGACATGGACAAGTAAATTTATTAGAGTACTACCAGCTTACATTGCACATGAGGTGTGCTCATTTCAGATCCTGGGAAAATGAAAAGTGGCCTCCGTGGACTAGAGGAAAAATCATTACACAGCTAGTGGCACCAAAGTCCAAATCAGCTAAATGCAGACAGGCCGGAGACTGTTTCTACAGTCTCTGCACTCTGCAGTCATCGAAATGTTCAGATATTAAGGTATTAAACTCTTAAAATTCCACAGGTGATTTAGGAATATTTTGCATGATTCCGTTGTGTGCATTTCTAGTGTGAGGTGTTCAGTTTGGTTAGACCGTTTCCTTTTGTTCTTAGGCATTTGGCCCTCAAAAGTTGGGCAGGGAAATGCTGTGTTCATAGGCTTTGGCTTCAGGAGGTATTTTAGCGGTGGATCTCTCCAAGATCACGGCAGTGAACTAGCGAGGCTTTTCTCTCCTGGCTGGAAAATTGGGATCGGTCGACACCTCAGCAATCTGCCAGACATGGGATGGTGCACCTTTTAGGGGGGCACTAGCCAAGTTCCCAGTGGGCTCTGGGGAAAGATGGGGGCCTCCTTGAGACGTCGGGAAACTAGGTGGTGGTACAGCCTGAACCTGCCCTGAGCGATGGGGTGGGGCACTGTTGACTTCAGGACCCAACTCCTGGACCTTATAAGAAATACACACATGCCAAGTAAACACTTCTTGTGCGTAGAGGGGTGCAGCCTCCTATCAGATAAACCATATATCCCGGTGACTTGTCTTCTGGGGAAATGTATCTGCCTCCACCGAATATGGAGAGGGTGTAGGGTCAGCTTCTCCTGGTGATTGTGTTAGGGTGTGATCCTCTGGCTAGGAATGTGTTCTTTTGGGTGCAGAAACTGGGCTTCTCTTACAAAGGGAGGACAGAATGGATGCAGGAGACACAGTGATATTTAAAAATTGTTTATCTGAGGTTCAAATTTAACTAGGAGGTCTGTATTCTTATTTGCTAAATCTGGCAACTTACTGCAGTGGTGGCACACAGGAGAGTGATTTGATGGCTAATTCAAAGGTAAAAATGGCAAGACTCTGGGATGGCTTGGATATGGGTGGGGGGGTGTAGGGGAGAAGAAGTGGCAACAAGGCGGATGGTGCTGTTGCCAGGGCAACATGTGGTATCTTTATACACCTAGAGAAAGATGCCATCTTTGTGGACACAGCCCTGTGGATGTACCACTTGGTGAGCAGTGTGCAAGCTAGCTTTCAACCCATTTGTGTCTTGTGTAGTGAACAACTTACACAACTGTACACAGCAGCCTGGTGCTGTTCACTGGATTCAGGAATGCTGTGTAGATTTTCAGGGTTGGGGGGGAGTTCAATTTTGAGAAGCTGACATTGAGGAACCTGTGACACACATGGGCAGAACTGTCCAGGATGTAGTTGGGCATCTGGTGTACGCATGTGAACAAGTTGCTTCTGAGAAATGTGAACCCCAAGCCAGTGGATGCGGGATCTACATGTAAATGACCTGACTGGAATATAAATCCCAAACTGAGAACCTCTGGGGAAAAGAAAATACGAGAAAAAGCAAATTGTCTTTGGGAACACTTTGCCACCTCAGGGCACAGAGGACTTCCTGGAAATAACACCCATGGAAATGAGCTTCTGAGAAAGAAAGGACAAACTGTGATGGGACCCACCACAAGGAAGTCTCAGCAGGTGAACCTCAAGCCAATTAACATGATTAACCGTGGTTAGCAATATGATATGAGTTACCAGCCTTTGGGGTGCAGGCAATTCAATTTTGCAGTAACTTGACACCCAGACGTTAATTCCTTCTGACGCTGAGGGATTTCTAATGGGAGGGAGGGGCTGTGGGTGGCAGAGTCTGGTAGAGGGGGTGGGGCTAGAAGACTTGTTTTGAATTGTGTTCAAAGCAGCACAGTGTTTCCACTTTTATTTCATCTATTTATTTGGAGGGAGGAATAAAGAGTATCGGGGTGGCTAACCTCAGCCCCTAACCATGCCTTATTGTTGTCATAGGCTTTGACCCTAATATTAGCCCATTCCTGGACAGTTTCTTGATGGCAAAAAAAAAATGGATGAAAAGGAAACTAGAATTTTGATCGTTTTCTCTGCTAAGCCAAGTTAGCTCAGGCAGAACCAGTTCTACAGAAAGGGATGAGGGGGTGAGGAAGTGGGGGATAATGCAACCTACCAAGTCCAAGAAGTGTTCCCGCTAGATAAGATAACAGACAAAGAATCTGGAGAAAGGCTTCCTAAAATGATAGAGGGTGCTTGTATGTTGCTGGCAGATTACAATGGCAGATTGGTGGCTGAAATAGATGACGGGAAGCAACTCACTCCAACGCTAGCAGATTTTCTTCGTTGTCAAAGGAAGCCCTTGCAGAGAAAGAGCATGAATTGGAGGAACACAAGCACAAGTTAGCCAGAGTTTGCCTGGTGCGCAAAGAACTCAGGTCCTGGATCCAGGGCCTGCCAGATTTACCTCGATTGCCCCATGTCACCAGCAGCCACATGCACCTGCCCTTTGCAGGGGATGTCAACAGTGAAGATTGATGACCTGTCTCTTTTCAGGGCCCAGGGCTTTGCAGGAGATGGAGACAGATTAGGTGGATAGTCCTGTAGTGTTATTTTTGTGTATTGTTGAGAGTGACACTAACGGTAACAACAAAAACCCAAGTCATTTATAAAGTTGTTTAAAATGTTGATTTGTTTACTATTTTATTGCTAAATTAACATGACTTAGTTTAAACAAAGTGATGGTCTGTGTATTAATAAGATCACAAATAGTGATTTTTTTCAAAAGATCTTTTGTAAATCTTTTTGATCCAGGCCCTTATGAGAAATTCCATGTTTCTTTTTCTTTATGTATTTTCAAATGTGTTTCTTTATTTTCATCAGTATCTAATCACTGTATAGCATGTAATTCCTAAAGGGTGAGAGCTAATCAGGAGTTGGTTGAGGTTTGATAGTATAGTTAGGACTTGATTGTAGAAGAGACTAAATGTTTCAACTTAATCTTCACCCATCTCCCCGACCAAAATATCAGCTCTGTGCCTCTCAATGCCGTTGAGTCCTTATTCCTTAGAGGTCAGTAACTTAACACTAAACACGATGTCATTTTTACAGTCAGGTCGGAGCTTAGGGAATGTTTCCACAATAGCACCGTAGGGGTTCCTTTGCGGCTGCCAGAGTAGAATAAGGGGAGTGTTAAATAGGGACCCCTTCATTAAACTGTTTAAAAACAGTTGATTGGATTAATGGGAAGTGTTTGGGAAATATTATACATTTTGACATTCTACCAAGAGGACAGCTTTCATTCTGTAACTGATTTCTGTCTGGCAGGTCAGTCTCCTTTTAACATAAGTGATCCCTTTAATATAAAGCCATCTATGGGATTATGAGAAACAAAATAATGATACTTTCATTATTCCCATAGCCTTAACTTTAAAAACTATGGTATTTTTTAGCTGTAATATCTCCAGGATACGTTCATTAATGTTCCGTGAAGTAGCCTGGAACATTTGTAATGTTTCCTTAAGGGTTTGAATGACTGTGTATTTGGAGATTAGGCAGTGCTGCTCTACAGGGTAGGTCTGGTAAATACTCTATTTGTATGTTTAGAGTTATCAGAACAATGTACTTTTAACTCTTTTAACCCTGTGTGTTAGAGCAGTTGCATGCTCTCCTGCTTTCTTCTTAAATCACATTGTTAAGCTATGGATTGGAATTCAGTGATGACTTAGGATAAACATTTTTTATTCATTGTTAGACATTTCTCTTTTCATGGTGAGCAGATTCAAATTAGATAGGCCATAAAACACCTTTAAATCCCCTCCTCCTGAAATAAGAGTGTCCTGTTCTCAAAACATTACTATTTTGTGACAATTTTCCAGCAGGTGTCAATAAGCAGCCTTGTAGAAGGAGCATCTTTTCTAGCTGATACAAAGGTGCCCTTAGTGAGATGGAGAAGCCATCATCAAGGGCTCTTGAGAGAGAGGACTGGCTGTGTCAGGAATCTTGCTTACAAATAATAGAAACCCAATTCCAACTGGCTAACGCCCTAAGGTGAACTAATCATTAGAACTCAGGGACAGGAATTCATCTAGAACTGAGAAAACACTGGATCCAGGGACTCCAATACAGTCAGGATCTACCTTTCTCTCTCTCTGTATTGTCCTTTCTGCTCCTCTCAATGCACCTGGGTCCTGCTTTCTTTCCCTCTTAGTCTACCTAGTACAAAACATTATGGCAGATGACTCCTGATGTCACGTATTACAGATTCATGGACCAGCATAGAGACTGGCCTCTTCCAGGTTCCAGTGTCTAAATTCCTAGGGAGGAGACTTAACTGGCTCAGCTCTGACTAGATCAAACACATGACCGTTGAGTGTGAAACAGTGTAACCACAGCAACTGAGTGGATGTTGGGAGTGGAGCGGGTGGGAAGTAATGGCAGATCACACGTCCTACACAGGGTTTCTGGAACAACCACTGATCACCTGGGATTGTCCATTTTTTTGAGCAGTATCAGACACTGCTAGGTTTATGATTATTTAATCCTTAGGACAATCCCAGCTACAACCAGAGGTTGGCACTATTCTCTCTACGGGTTAGGAAATTTAGGCTTAAATAAGATATTGCCTTTTCCTGAGTATGCTGTGCACTAAATTACTATTAGTTAAATGCCTAATAAAGTGCTAAATTAATAATCAACATAGCTCTTTTTAAAAAGTATCTTTTATTGAATATGCTATTACAGTTGTCCCAATTTTTCCACTGGTCTCACTCCACCAGGTACCCCACCTTCCCTCCAGCAATCCCCCATCTTAGTTCATGTCCACGGGTTCTACCTATAACTTCCTTGGCTTCTCCACTTCCTATAGTATGCATAACATCCCCCTTTCCATTTTATACCTACCAATTATGCTTCTTAATCCCTGCACCTTTTCCCCCATCCTCACCCTTCCCCTGTCACTGCTGGTAGTCCTCCAGATGATCTCCATCCATATCCATGATGCTATTCCTATTCTAGTTGCTTTGTTTTGTTTTTTTTTGGATTCAGTTGTTAGTTGTGAGTTTGTCATTTTACTATTCATAGTTTTGATCTTTTTCTTAAATACATTTCTTTAACATTATTTAACATATAATAAGGGCTTGCTGATGATGAACTCCTTCAACTTTATGCTGTCTGGGAAGCACAGCAAGGCTCTTTTCAAACCAGCTATGCCAAAACTCCTTCCGCCGGAGTGGTTCCCAGTCTGATACTAGGTGACGTCATGTACAGTCCCAGCCCAACGGTCCTCGGTAACAGGCACAGCCTACAACTCCCCAGGGCTGTGTTTTTCTCCAACTTGTTTTGGACATGCGCGGGCCGTATGGCGCTTTGGCCAGAGCGGCTTGTGGGTTCTCTGACAATCTTCCTAGATTACAGTTTTAACGACAAAAATACTTATTTTCCTTTCAGCTGCCCAAGTTCTCGCGATACTTGCTAGTCCGCTCCCCCCGCCCCACGCCTTGCGCCTGCGCAGGTCTTTACGTAGCAGAAGGTCGCGGCAGGAGGAAGAGGTGGCTTTCAGTCCCAGAGCGGGTCTGCTGTTGCTATTTCTCTGAAGCTCCTCTCGGCCTCTTGCCGAGACACCCCGCCGCCAAAATGCCTCGAATTATGATTAAGGGGGGCGTGTGGAGGAATACCGAGGTAAGTCCCCCTTTCCCGCCGTCCTCTGCCCTTCGCCCCCTCTGGCAGCTAGTGCGCACGCGCACTGAGGTCCGGGAGACTAGGACGATGCCCTGCAGGGTTTGCGAGGGAGGCAGAGCCTGGCGGACTCTCCAGGCCTTTACCTGGTGTCCGACTCTGCATTATTTGATCACCTCAAGGACAGGGACCATGATTAAACCACTCGACTACCTGCGGTGCACTTGTTAGGCTCCCAGTGAACATTCGTTGCAAAGAGGATGTTCCCCCACTACCCCGGCCTGGAGGAATTCAGAACATGGAGTGGGGGTTAGGACATCAGCGAGAGTTGCTTTTCTGGGGCACCCCTACCTCAGCCAGGACACGGAACCTTTCTTTAATATCAAAAATAAAGAAGTGCCGTGGCCACAGCTTTGTTTCTTCCTTCATTGACGTTCGTGCAGAGTTTGGGAAGCAGCTTGAGCGCCAGGTTCAAAGAGCCGGTTTATGCCCCTCAGCTCTCTAGTTATCTGTTATCAAGGCATAACTTGTCTGCCCTCCCGACAGGTCCCAAAGCCTGTCTCTTCCTGTTACCTCTCAGCTTGGATAGAAGCCAGATGGAATAAACTGATTGCGGTAGTTTCTTTACTTCCAGAAATGTAGTGGATCATGCCAGTGATGAGCCAGTAGAGAGATAGTAAAATAAAAATAAGATATTAGTACAGTTTGTGTTCAGAGTGCACTGAATTTTTCAGTTTCTGGAGCACAGCACATCTTTTCATGATCTCCGTCTTTATATATCTTGTACTTTATTTAAATATCCTCCTGCTGCTTGACATCTTTCTGATTATCCTTCAAAACCCAAATCAGAAACTGGTCTTGGAATTTTTACCCATTTTTCTTGTGAAAATTAGTTCCACCTCCAGTGTTCCCATCACTTTCACACATTGTTACAGTTTTTGCAGGCATCACATCCTTCTCTGTGTTGCTGGTTAGTTTATTAATCTCTCAGAACCTGATTAGAGGCTTTCTCATTTTTCTAATGTGAATGATAATAATACCTACCTCTCGAGGATTAAATGACTCAATATATTTAGAACATTTAGAACAAAGTCTGACACATGGTATTCTTTCAGTAAGTGCTGGTGGCTGTTGCTTTCCTCCAGCAGACAGCACTAGAAGAGGACCAGATGGTGCTTTCCCTAACACTTAGGACAATAACCAACATGAAGTCCGTTGCTTAGCAAAATGTTTGCCAGGTGGATCTAGTAGGGTGGATAACTGCTATACATGTATTCTTAGTTGAAGATGTGTTTAAGTACAGCAGTACTGCAGCAAAGTCATAAATAAAGTTCGTGACAACTTTGCCTTGCAGAGGAAACCAGACCGTTTATATTGGAGAAAAGGTCACTTCTGGGGGAGGGAGATACAGATGTATGAAATCGAGTAACAGCATGATTCCCATGCAGTGGCCAAAACTTTGCAGTCTTTTTTAATGTCTGGTGATGGGAAAGTGGATTGGGGTGGAGTAGCTCATGTATGAGGCATATAGTTCAGGTGGAAAAAAGCCTCAAAGCAAAATGCCCCAAGTGCATTGATCTGTGGTGGCTTTATCATCTCTGGTGGCTATGGCTTATCTTGCTGGGCTCTCCTGGGATTGGCGATTCCATGATCAGAGTGGGTGCCCTCATGAAATAGTATCTAGAGACGGGAAGGGTGGAGGGAGAGCTAACTGTGAGGTGGGAGAGAAATAGTTAATTCTCAAGTTAGAGCTGGATGTGGATTCTAGGGTCAGAGTGGAGATTAACGAAACTGGAAAGAAAATTCCATTCATAAACTGGAAGCAGGAAGTTTGGATTGGATAATGGAGTCACTAGAGTCTTGACTCGTTTCTTGAGGGCTGGATGTGTCCTCTTAGATTCTCTTTGCTTAAGCACAAAAAGTATGATGTTAGGTGTTCAGGAAATGTCTTTTTTTTTTTAAAGATTTTATTTATTTATCTTTAGAGGAGAAGGGAAGGAGAGAGGGAGAGAAACATCAATGTATGGTTGCGATCAATGTATGGTTGCGTTTGTGCGTCCCCTGCTGGGAACTGGCCTGCAGGGAACCTGCCTGCAACCCAGGCATGTGCCCTCACTGGGCATTGAACCGTGATTGTCTGGTTCACAGGCCCGTGCTCAGTCCACTGAGCTACACCAGCCAGGGAGGAAATGTCTTTTTGAATAAGTGAATGAGGTATACTCTTTGGAAGAGAATGACAGCCACACATTGGAGAATATTTTTTGTTAGTCTTCAAGTAGGATTTCTCAGATTGGGCTGTATCCATCCCAGTTTATTGGGTGGGGGGTTTCATGTAAGGCAGGGTAGGATGAATGTTCTTCTAAGAGATTTCTTACTAATTTCTTTCATTTTGCTGATTCCAGCTTTCTGTTTATTATGATAGTAAATGAGGTTTTTGTACTTTTAAAAAAAATCTAGGACAGCAACTTTTAACCTTTATCATCTTGTGGCACACATAAACTAATTACCAAAATTCTGTGGCACACCCCAAAATATATTTTTTGCTGACTTGACAAAAATAATAGATATAATTTTAATTACATTCACACTAGATGGCTATTATTGTGTTGGTTGTCATTTAAAAAAATATTTATCCATTGATTGATTGGTTTTAGACAGAGAGTAAGGGGGTTGTGAGGGGAGAGATGGGAAAACATCAGTTTGTTGCTCCACTTACTCATGCACTCACTGGCTGACCCCTTCACATGCCCCCACCAGGGATCAAACCCGCAACCTTGGCACATCAGGATGACGCTCCAACCAATTGAGCCACCCAGCCAGGGCTGTTGTCATTTTTTAGTTTGATAGTCTAAGGGAAAAGAGGTCAGCGCCCTGACTAATTAATTAGTCAGGTATCGCACGTTTTAAAAATTCTTACGGCACACTGGTTGAAAATTGCTGACCTAGGATGTACGTATGTGTCTCTTTCTTTCTCTCCAGTAACCTGTCAGAATTCATTTAAATTTTGTCTTTTCTCACTTGGAGTTTTATTATTGAATGTCCTGTTTTTCTTTGACAATCTTTTTAGGATGAAATTCTGAAAGCAGCGGTAATGAAATATGGGAAAAATCAGTGGTCTAGGATTGCCTCACTGCTGCATAGGAAATCAGCAAAGCAGTGCAAAGCCAGATGGTATGTACCGGTTGATGAATGGGAAACAGAAAACAGCCTTAGTTATGATGAGGAAAATGTCGGTGTTTTGAACCTTACCAAAGAAAGCAGGCATTGTGATGTAACAGAAAGGGTACAGTGGGAAATGGGGATTTAGATTTAAGACCTAGCTGTCATTTGCTTCCTGTGTGATCTTAGGCAAGCCATTTTTACATCCTTTCTCTCATGCCTCTGTTTTTTTTTTTTCCCCATTTGAAGGTAATAATACTTGCCCCTCATTGGTGGAAATATGAGGCTCAAGTGAGTTAATGTGTTTGAGAATGGTGTTTGAGAATGGTGAAGCATAAATCTGCTTTTAGATACAGATGGACTCTAGCTTACAGATGGATTGTGTCCAGAAGTTTAAAAGCTGGTTAGAACTTTCTTTCCCCCAAAAATGAATTATAAATAATGGTTAACTTTCTAGGCTAGCTCACAGTAATTGAGTCATAATACAGTTGAAATACTATATATTTGCTACCCCAGAATATAATCCATCACTATACCTGGATATTCCCCTTTAAGTCACAAAGTAGTGGAACATTAAACTTTTTACATGTGTTCTTGGCATGAGTGATCTGGCCTCAGCCCTGACCTATGTGGTTCTAGGATCATATTTTGAATTGTACAAGAGCGACCTAATTTCCTAGGCACCCGAGTAGGCGAGTGGATCATAATGTAGGGATTAGACCTCAAAGAGGCAGACAGTCCTTAAGCTGAAGTAGTTCTGATTTCTGTTTCAAGAAGTCAGGGGAGCTAAGCCCCTCCTTGGATGTGTGATAAGGCTTCTGTCTTGTTTGTCAGCTTCTCATCCAGCTAAGTAAACCAGATGGAAAAAGTGGGTGGGGTGGTACATTATGAAACACAGATGACAGTAGTTTCACTTAAATTTAAAAACATGAAACAAAAACAGTGACTATTGTGTTAGAAAAAAACAGCTTTGGTAATTGAAGGATAAGAGTTATCTTCCATTTTTCAGACACTGGATGTAACATGAGAGTTATCTTCCATTTTTCAGACACTGGAAGTCAGTGTATCTAATGTGTATCTATTTGTGTTAGGTGACTGATTAATGTACAAAGTTGTATCTTTTTAATAGGTATGAGTGGCTGGATCCAAGCATTAAGAAAACAGAATGGTCCCGAGAAGAAGAGGAAAAACTCTTGCACTTGGCCAAGTTGATGCCGACTCAGTGGAGGACCATCGCTCCAATCATTGGGAGAACGGCTGCCCAGTGCTTGGAACACTATGAGTTTTTGCTGTAAGTGGATCCCCAAGAGCAGTACGAAAATGTGTCTGTATTTTCTGCATGAGTCTGAATAAACTTGTATTTTTTGGTCTTTAAACATACAGTTACAGATCTGTGTACAGGAGCTAAAGCTATTGGATTATATACTTTAAATCTCATGTGATCATAATTAGTTCTTTAGTTGTATCATTTTTAAAAGAGTGATTTAAAAATATACAAACCATGTATGTTCATCATAGGAAACCAGGGGAAAATATGGTAAAACAAAAATCACCATAATCATATTGCTGAGAGTTAACAGTTTGTTTCTTCACTAGCAGGGGTTTTTTTTGTTTTTGGTATGACTATACTGCATTTGTGATTGCAGGACTGCTTGGATTCTATTTATAAGTGAATGGAACACTCTCTGAAATTAGAGGGAATTTTAATACCTTTTTCATGCCCATCCATTGGGTTTTTCAGTGTTACCTTTTTTTAAATTGAATTTATTGGGGTGACATTAGTTGACAAAATTACGTAGGTTTCAGGGGTATAGTTGTATAATAATACATCATCAGTACATTGTGTTGTATGTTCACACCCAAGTCAAGTCTCCTTTCACCATTTATTTCTCTTTTATTCTCTCCTACCCCACCGACTCTTTCTGTCACCCTGCTGTTGTCTGTCTTTGAAGTGGTTTTTTTTTTTTTGTTTTGCTTAATCTCTTAACCTTTTTCACTCAGTCCCTTTCCACCTCCTCTGAAAACTCTCAGTCTATTCTGTGTCTATGAGTCTGTTTCTATTTTGTTTGTTAGTTGATTTTGCTGATTAGATTCCACGTATGAGTGAGATCACATGGTATTTGTCTTTCTCTGACTGGCTTATTTCACTTAGTATAATGGGCTTTTGGTCCATCCATGCCGCCCCATTGCGTTTTTGAAGTAAAAGTGTGCCAGCGCCAGGAAATCTCGTGTTTCTGAGACGAGATGGTGCGACAGTGTGGCCGACTCACCTGCACCCTTTTCTAGGGATAAAGCCGCCCAAAGAGACAATGAAGAGGAAACCGCAGATGATCCAAGAAAACTGAAACCTGGAGAAATAGATCCAAATCCAGAGACAAAACCAGCTCGGCCCGATCCAATCGACATGGATGAGGGTAAGTGTCTACTTGGGAGCAGTTTATTTTGTTGGTAATCCATACCCTCCTTAGACTGCTTCTTTACTCATAATTCCCTCCTCTGAATCCCAGTTCAGTCTGCCGTTGTTATTTAAGTCTCATTCAAAATGCGTCCAGTCTTCTGTTGGAGAGTAATTGCTCTTTTTGGACAGTGTCCCTTTATCTTCTGATTTCTTAATTCATTCAGTAAGTTCAGCAATGTAATACTACTGGAAAGATATCCTGGAGGCCAGAGGTAAGCCCTTGAGATCCTGTGTTCTTATTCCTATTCTGTGGAGAGAGCCAGGAGGTTGGGATATTGGGCTCTAGTCCTATTAACTCCTTCTTTGACTTTAGGCAGGTAATTAACTCTGTGAAAAAGCAGTGCTGCAAGACTGTGATAGAGATTTAGGATGGCTCCTTGAGACATCAAGAATCAGAGCAACTGGATTTTAGACCCGTGCCTGCCATTTACTAGCTATTTGATGTTTGCCAAGTCATATATTCTTTTTGAGCTTTGATTCCATTTCCTGCCATATGGAGAATAACGTCTGTCTTGCTTATAGCAGTGGTCCCCAACCTTTTTGGCACTAGGGACTGGTTTCATGGAAGACAATTTTTCCACGGACTGGAGCAGGGTGGGGGGATGGCTTTATAGTCTCCCACCAGATGCAGTTTAATTGTCACTTGCTGCTCACTCTTAGGGTTTTGATATGAGTCTGCAAGCAATTGATCCATTTTGGTCTCGCAGTCAGACCTCTCTGCTAATCATACTCTATGGTAGTTACTCCCCAGTGCTAACATCACCACCTCAGCTCCACCTCAGATGATCAGACATTAGATTCTCACAAGGAGCAAGCAGTCTAGATCCCTTGTGGGCACAGTTCATAAGGTTCACAGTTTCATAGGGTTCACGCTCTTACGAAAATCTAATGCTGTCACTGATCTGACAGGAGGTGGAGCTCAGGTGGTAATGCCGACAATGGGGGAGCAGCTGTAAACACAGACGAAGCTTCTGTGCAGCCGGGTCCTGTGGCCTGGGGGTTGGGGATCCCTGCCTCAGGGTTGTTGTGAAGCATTCAGTGAATATTTGTTAGTCCATTTCCTGTTTAGAAAAAGAAGTGCGGCTCGCTGCCATTACTGAGAACAGAGTGCTATAAATAGAATGATGTCATTTATCTCCAAAAACTACTGATATACTAGAGCAGTGTGAAAATAATAAAAGTGAGGTATTTTGTGGATAAGGTTAGGACTATAATCTGTAAGTTATCTTAGGGTGAATGCTACAGCCACAAACACCTCTGGCAGGTATTCTTGAAGCATACGGGAAATGGACTATTTCTAAAATTTAGAAATTTGAAGGTAGTAGTTCCCAAAGACAAGCAGTGGCTGGTTTGGCTGCATCATGGTGACACTGGGACCTTATTTTATTTTTTTAAAGATTTTATTTATTTATTTTTTAGAGGGGAAGGGAGGGAGAAAGAGGGGGAGAGAAATGTCAGTGTGTGGTTGTGTCTTGCAAGTCCTCTGCTGGGGACCTGGCCTGCAACCCAGGCATGTGCCCTGACTGGGAATTGAACTGGTGACCCTGTGGTTCACAGGCCAGCACTCAATCCACTGAGCCACACCAGCCAGTGCACATTGGGAGCTTTTAAAAATGCAGGTACCAGGCCCTCCCCTGGAGATAATTGTGTCAATAATTTCAGGAGTGGAGGGGCTTTCCTGGATGAGTTTCTAAAAAGCTTCTTTGTGATGCCATTAGACAGCCCTTGAATTGGTCTGAAGCATCAGTAATGACATTTGTTATTCTACTTTGGGAAGCCATGGAAATGTATTGGAAGAGAGAAATAGGAAAGAAAGGTGTATTTAATGAAGATAATCAGTTCTCTTATATTTAACAATTTGTGCTTTGCCAGTTAATAGGTGATAATAAATGATATGATAATCATAGCCACTGTTTAATGAATACTTGCTAGATGCTTTATCTGTTTTGTTTTATGTAGCTCTTCTCAACATCCTTGTTAAGTAGGAATTGTTCTCATTTTATAGAAGATGGTATTTCTGCCCCGGCTGGTGTGGCTCAGTGGATTAAGCACCGGCCCGTGAACCAAAGGGTCGCTGGTTTGATTCCCGGTCAGGGCACCTGCCTGGGTTGCGGGCCAGGTCTCCCTTCCCACCTTAGGGAGTGTGTGAGAGGCAACCACACATTGATATTTCTCTCCCTCCCTTCCCCTCTGTCTAAAAATAACTAAATAAAATCTTTTAAAAAAGAAGAAGATAGTTTTTCTCATCTTAAGCACCAGGGTATGTCTCTCACACGCCTTCCTTCTGTTGGGGAAGAACTTAGTTTTTCTTCTTTGTATTTCTGCAGATGAACTTGAGATGCTTTCTGAAGCTAGGGCCCGCCTGGCTAATACGCAGGGAAAGAAGGCCAAGAGGAAAGCAAGAGAGAAACAGTTGGAAGAGGCAAGGTATGGTTATTTCCATCCATAGTTAAACAGTTAGTCTGTGCATCCTTAGCCCAGTAAAAACTGCATGGTTTATCCAGCCCTGTTGGATGAGTAATAATTAGAATTTTCCAATTCCAGTTTTGGTAATATTTTTTGTTACTTTGAAAATATCTTATTTTTTGCTCCTAATCATTTCAGAGTAAAAAAAAAGAGATATATTAAAAAGAATTTTTTTAATAAGATATGGCAGAAGCAATGCCCAGACAGTTTGCTGGGTGTTTGGTTCTTTTGTTAGTGCAGGAGATCGGCATCTGCTGTAGCCATCTCAGAGTCAGATGGACAGAGGACACGCGGACCATGTGGCTTTTGCATGATTGCCAGTGAGTTACTCTCCTTGGGTAGTTTTAGGCAGGTACTGACTTCAGACAGGAAACTTGGGAGTTAATGAACCTTAAGCCTAAATTGAGGCTTTCACAGAAATCTTTATTTAAAAAAGTAAGTGAGCTCTGGCTGGTATAGCTCAGTTGGTCAGAGTGTCATCCCGTTGGGTTCATTCTTCATATACCCAGGTTGTGGGTTTGATCCCCAGCCAGGGTGCGAGTGAGAAGGCAGCCAGTCGCCGTTTCGTTCTCTTTCTGTCTCTCTCTTCCCCCTTCTCTTCCTCCCCTTTCCTCTATAAAAGCAATGAAAAAAAAATATCCTTGCATGAGGATAAAAGAGTGAGTAAAGTAAGTATTGCCCTCTACTCAAGATATTCTCTGTTTTCCCTCCGTTTTACCTTTTGGTTAGAGCTGTGATTGGACATCATTCCTACTGGCCCAGAAGTGGATAAAGGGAGAACCTAAACTGAATTAAGTGCTCATTAGCTTTGGAGTTCATGCATTGTAATAACCTCCCTAGCCTACACAGCTGCCTTTTGTGGTCCAAGCCAGGAAGTGCTTCCTGACCAGATGACCCCCATTGTGTTGATGGTTTCCCCAGTAACGGCTTTGAAGTGCCAGATCCTGGGATCCAGGATTCCTTTGTGATTGACGGCTTGTTGACATAACCAGCCAGTCACTAGCCCAGAATAGTTACTTACAACGACAGAGTGCGAGTGGGCTGGGACAGGGCACAAAAACCAAGAGGAGGTACTGAATATTCTGCCCAGGAACATCCACCTTTCTTTTCTGTGCATTTGTTAGGGTTAAATAACGTAAGGTTGAAACAAATCCCCTTCCATTTCTGTCCATGGTTGGTTGGGAACCAGGGTTTTTTTTTTGAGCCTTTTAACCACACGGGATTGGGTCTGGGATGTGGCAAGTGCGTATGTTAAAAATTCCCAAGTATGGCTGACATCCTTTCTTTAAATAAATTTTTCAGGTTTAAATTTACACCTTCTTGTAGGTTTTCTTGGAGGATCTACACATCTTTGTAATTTATGTTGTGTGTACATCTTATAATAGACTAGATGAGTGATTTTCTTCTTCATCTCATGGCACACATAAACTAATTACTAAAATTCTGTAGTACACTAAAAAGTGTACACTAAAAAATATACTTAAAAAGTGTATTTTTTGCTGGTCTTACCTAAGAAAAGATAGGTATAATTTTGATTTATTCACACTGGATGGCTAATGCTGTGGTGGTGGTTGTCATGGTTTTGATGGGATTTTATTTGACATCTTTTTTCCTGGCTATATCCAGTTCTTCTAATTGATAGCTGATTGTTTTGGTTTCAGTGATGTTTTGGGGCATACATTGCTCCACAAACTGATCCACTCAAATCCTGGCTCCTTTGAAGGGATAGTTTCTGGGGCCTGGGTTTGATATTTGTTCTGGCCCCAGGGGGCTCCGCCCACCTGTGTCTGTCTGTGTTTCTGGCAAACTAGTGGGCCTGTAGCTTAGCTTGTATTCTTGGTAGTTTTTTCCTGGTTGCTTCACCACAACTTCCACTGTTTGTGAGAGTACCTTTGGGCTTGAACTGCTCCGTGCTCTGTTGCAAATGAAGTTAGTCTCTTTGGGGAGAGATGTGGAGCTCCTGTTTTACTACTGCACTCTGATGGGCTTGTCTCTGCGCAGGAGCCTTACTTAGGGGCTGAGTGGTTGGTGAGGGGGCTTACAAGTCCTCTTGCTTTCCTTGGCCTGCCTGTCCTAGCATGGAACCCTCATCCCACAATCCGGGGCAAAGGCTGTTGGGGCTCTAGTATACTCAGCAGCAGTGTGCTCAAGATAGAGCCTCTGTCTTGGACAGAAGATGGAAGCCAGTGCCCTTGGCCGCTCGGGACCGAACTAGCCTCAGCAGTGGGTGTCTGGAGGCAGGATGAGATATGCTTCTCTTGGAATAAAAGCCCTTCCACTGGGAACTGGAGGAGAGACTGAGAAACCCCTGTCCTTGGTGCACGAGTGTGGGGTGGAGTTTCCATCTCCCTGAGCTGTGGGTGGGGGGGAAGGGAAGGGGTGTGTCTAGATTCACATATCACAGACTCTTACTTTTCTTACTAAGTTTTAGTAGGCTTTCTTGAAGAAATGTGTTTTCATTGGCTGTATCCCCTTAGGATTCTTTTCAGAGACTTAAAATTGTATTAGAAATTTTTTTAAACTAATTTTTGTCAGTTTTGCTGGGAAGTAGATCTGTATGGTCTCCTCAAGCTGGAAGTTGTTCCTGTAATTAATTTTTATGGATTAATTTTTCCCCCTTTAGTATTGTGAATAAGCTTCTCATCATTAAATCATTAAAATTATGGCATCATGGGAAAGTACAAATATAAAAGTAAAAATTAAATAAAATTTTAACTTCCAGTGATTAACACCGATTATATTTTGGTGGACATACTTCCTATCTCTCCACGCATTTATTCATTCATAGGTACGCATATAATTTTTACATGTTGCTCTCCAACATGTAAACTGTGTAACAGTTTTGAAATGGTGTGCTTTGGGCACCTTTCCATGTCAGAATAGATCCGTAGGCTTTTTAGAGGTTGTGTGGACGGCTGTCTAACGCCCTGTTGTACAGCCGTGTGTAAATTCATGTAACTAACTTATTATTATTGGATGTGTAGATGGTTTTCCATCTGTGAGCACTGTTACAGACAGTGCTCACAGGGCAGTTTCCCAGCTGATTCCTTGTTCATGTTCTTTATTTCCTTAGGCTAAAGGCTGAGGAGTGGAATTGCTTGGTTAAAAAACATGGAAAACGCGTCTTCATGTGTATTTCTGAATTGTCTTTGGGAAAGCCACACCAGTTTCCTTTCTTAACTGCCAGTGTGGGAGAGTGTTCACTTTCTAGCTCCCTTGCTGTTAAAACGGGACAAAAAGCTGAGTGGTAGTAATTAGATATGCAGAAATATGGTACCCATTGACTTAATTTGTGATTTTTAAGTAAACCTTTTGTCATTTCAGCAATTTGCATTTTTCCTTAGTGAACTGTTTATTATTTCCTCTTGCTTTTTCTCCCCCTTGGGTTGCATTTTTAAAAAAACTTGAATAGATTTTTTATATCTGACCGTTCCTAACATTAGTTGCAAACAGCTTATTTGCCTTTTAATTTTGCTTTATGATTTTTTAAAAAACAGTGCTACTGAGATACAAAATTTCAAAGCCTTTGCTCTTTTTTTTTGGTCTTTTATTTATATTTATTTATATTTTCATCCAGAGGTAAGATACATATTTATTTATAGTTTCTTCTGGGTTTTTTTTTTTGCTTTAGTGTATGTGTGCGTGCGCTCACACGCCTTTAAATCGAAACTGAACTACGTTTTGCTGAATAGTGTGAGGTGGGGATTTATTTCTTCCTCAGATAACCAGTTAGTTATCTTAACTGTTGGATAATTCATCCCTTCCCCATGGCGCTGCTTTTCAAGGTAATCTTGTGTTCTGTTTCTTTAGACGTCTTGCTGCCCTCCAAAAGAGAAGAGAACTTCGGGCAGCTGGCATAGAAATTCAGAAGAAAAGAAAGAAGAAGAGAGGCGTGGATTATAATGCTGAAATCCCATTTGAGAAAAAGCCTGCTCTTGGTTTCTATGATACTTCTGAGGAAAACTACCAGGCTCTGGATGCGGATTTCAGGAAGCTCAGACAACAGGATCTGGATGGCGAGCTGAGATCGTAAGTACCTTTCTGGTTTTGAAAATGGAAAGGTGCGGAAGGGATTTCATGGAGGGCTAAGTGGTGTCCTCCTCAGAGCTGGGTTTTTATTGCTTAGTGCATGTAGCCTTGGTTTGCTTTTATTTATTTGAGTTCACCTTTCGGAGAGAGGGCAGTGGACCCTGGCTGTCCTATTTTTAGCATGGAATGCAGTTTGTCTCCTGTATTGTCAGCACTTGGCTCTTAGTGGAATGTCTACTTACTGAGTCACAGTCTTAATTTAAGATTTATGTACATCTGTGAACAAGTTAGTGTTTTTACTGATAACCTGGAGGACTCTGTCAAAATCTGATGTTTTTTTTTTTGTCTTGTATTCTAAAAGTTTTCACTTAGAATATAAGTAGGTGTATGTATAAAATGTTTGTCTTATAAGGTGCAGAGGATTTTGCCTATTTCAGGGGATTTTTAGAGTTTCTTTAATTCTTTTATCTGAAAATTGTGCGGAGTGTTACATCCCATCCTTGCGAGCAAGAAGGGTCGGAGACTGCTGGGTAGTCAGAGGTGTTTTATTGGCCAAAGTTTCAAAGTTTTACCTGCGCAGAGGCGAACTCTCGGGGCGCCTCCGGAGACACACGAGTGCCAAGATGGCTGCAAATGAGAGTCGCGCCTGGCGCTTACAGTCTGGGGTTTTTATTGGGGTGAGCAAGCAAGCGAATACAGAAGCAGACGTAGCTGTTAGCAATTGGCTATTTTGAGAGGACACACACACATCTCTGCTTACTACAATGGATACTTTTCTGCAAAGACAAGGCCATGCAAAGACAAGGTCATACACGGGCGGGTTATACTTTTACTTTTTTTTTTTACTTTTTTATCTCTCTTGCTGAGACAGTCTGGTGCCTGCCTCGTCCTCCCTGCTAATTTAACCCTATGGTGCCTGCCTCATCCTCCCTGCTAATTTAACCCTAACCTAACCTAACAGGGAGAACCATTTATGATTGCCAAAGATTTCTTGTTTTTTACTTCCTGATTGATATTCCATTTCTACTGTGTGAATAGTTACTAAACAATAGATCCTAGCCACTGTGAAACAGGGTTTTTTGGATGTACTCCGTTGTGCTTATTTATTTATTTATTTATTTATTTATTTTTAAAGATTTTATTTATTTACCTTTAGAGGGGAAGGGAAGGAGAGAGGGAGAGAAACATCAGTGTATGGTTGCCTTTCATGCCTCCCCTGCTGGGAACTGGCCTGCAGGGAACCGGCCTGCAACCCAGGCATGTGCCCTGACTGGGAATTGAACCTCGATTGTGTGGTTCGCAGGCCCGTGCTCAATCCACTGAGCTACACCAGCCAGGGCCTTGTGTTTTTTTTTAGGAGCTTCTTGGTGGTCTTCCTGTTTTTTCCACTGGTTAACGGAAGGCACAGACGAGGTGGGGGCGGGGGCATTCCTGGAGCTTTAACAGACAGCCTGGAGCCTTGCCTTCCACTTCCCGACAGTTTTTGTGGTATAATTTGTCTAGACTTAAATACCCTTAAAAATTTTTTTGTGAATTTATAAAATCATAAATAATTGAATAACAGTTTTCAAGGGAAATTTTAAAACTCACAATTTCCCACCATTTAAAAAAGTTTATTTTTAATTTTATTTATTTCCATTACCATTTATCTTTCTCATGCCCTCTTCCACCTCCACCTATTCTCTCCGCTGCACCCTCCCAGTCACTGCACTGTTGTCTGTGTCCAGGAGTCCTTTTCTGTTTTTGCTCTATCCCTCCACTCCCCAACCCCCACCTCAGAGCCGGCAGCCTGCTCTCTATCCATGAGTTGTCTCTGTTTTGCTTGTTAGTTCAATTTGTTCATTAGATTTCACATAGGAATGAAATCATACGGTCCCTGTTTTTCTCTGACTGGCCTATTTCACTTAGTATGATGCTCTGTAGGCCCATTCATGCTGTTGGCACAGGGTAAAATATTCCTTTTTTACAGCTGAGAAGTACTTCATTGTGTAAATGTACCACAGTTGTTTTACCCACTCATATACTGATGGACACTGGGGCTGCTTCCGTATCTTGACTATTGTAAATAATGAGAATTCACAATGTTTAAATTTTGTTCCCTTTATATTATTCTTTTCCTTTCCGTATACTTCATCACTTTACTGTGTGTACACATATGTTTTTATATAAATGTAAACAATAAAGGAATAGTTTTATGTTTTTCTTTTGATTTTATATGTGACATTTGGCTTATCATAGCCTTTATAATATGTAGTTTTAATATTTAGTATTTAAATTACTTAGTGTATCCTATTTCCTTGATAATTCTATTGTTATTGTAAGTCCGCATTCCTCTTGAATACAGTGGGGAGGTGATGGTGTAGGGACCAACTTAATGTATATAGTTTTTAATCTGTTAGTAATTTTCTTAGAAATGGGATTGTTTTGTTCAAAATGTGTGAGTATTTATATGGCTTTAATGTTATTGCCTATATGTAACTTCTAAAAATCTCTTCTCCACTTTGATGACAGTGAAAAAGAAGGAAGAGACAGAAAGAAAGACAAGCAGCATCTCAAGAGGAAAAAAGAGTCTGATTTACCATCAGCTATTCTTCAAACTAGTGGTGTTTCTGAATTTACTAAAAAGAGAAGTAAACTAGTACTTCCTGCCCCTCAGGTAATATGATAAAAGTACTTATTTTTAATGGTGTGAGCTCATAAACTTACCAATTATTCAGCAGATATTTGAGGGCTTATATGCCCTAGCAAGTTTTTGCTAGGTGCTCAGTGCCCATAAGAAATTCACAGTGTAATATGTGGTTCACATAAAAATAAGTCATTGTCCTACAGCATAATCAATAAGCAACAGCTTTTCTGTGTAGTTATGTCAGGTCTGGAACTGCTCATATGATGGTTTGGTGAGTAAGTGTCAGCTCTTAGCAGCTTGTCAGCAGTTAGGGCTCCAGGCCTCTTTTTGGGGGGGCAGGCCAGGGTAGAGGTGTCATGTGGCCATGTGGATTCAGGCTGCTTACTTTCAGTGAATGTTTTGTTGTGTCGTACTTACCTTTTTGAGGCAACAGCAGTGAAAATCAACATGGGAGATGCGGAGAAGAGAGAGAGACACATTCATTCAGCCTATCTCAGGCTCTGTTCCTTTGACTTAATTATACTGAATTATGGTTCGTTAGAAACATGGGAATTTTGAATACATTTTTGGCATTGTTTTTGGAAGACTGAATATGAAAAAGGAGTTTAAAAGGAGTTTATTTATTTATTTTTGCCATAGGAGAGGAACCAGATAATCTCTTGTTCTGTTTTGAGTGGTTCAGGTCTGCAGAATTAGACAGTTCAGTGGAGCAGGGGGGTGGACTTCGGAGCCTGAGGGGCTTCTCCCCTGCCACGGGGGAGATTAGCACTAGATTGTACCGCACAAGCAGAGTGATTTTAGATGCTGCCATTCCTCATAATGATAGTTCTGAAATTGAGATTTTGACTGTTATTTTTTTTTCTTAGTACCCCTTAGGATATTTATTTTGGTAAAATTACTAGGACAACACATTTTGATTTTCTTAGGGATCTTGTGGATGAGTGGACTCTCTGTGATATTTTAATTGGTTTTCAGTCATCCTCCCATACAGAAGTTTTATATAAACACTAGTATTTTATGTTTTTGATATATTACATTTCTTGATTTAAAAGGATTTCAGCGTGTAAGTACACAAGACTTTGCGGCTTGATAGCATGGAATTCCTCCTCTCCCCACACATACACATTATGTAGGAAAGACTTAAAAAAACTGTTATGCAAACAGACCCACAAAAAGTAAAGAGTACTTTTTAATAGTGAACCTTGTGTACTCATCACACAACTTCAGTACTTTATTTTTCTGGAATGTGGAAGTTTGAAGGTGGTTGTCCTTCGGTTAAAATATTGCTTACTATGATAACTGTGTCTTTCTAGATTTCAGATGCGGAACTCCAGGAAGTTGTGAAAGTAGGCCAAGCGAGTGAAATTGCGCGTCAGACTGCTGAGGAATCGGGCATAACAAATTCTGCTTCCAGTACTCTTTTGTCTGAGTACAATGTCACCAACAACAGCATCGCTCTTAGGACGCCACGAACGCCAGCTTCCCAGGACAGAATTCTGCAGGTCAGCTGTCATGTAGGAGAGGGGGCCTTTCTCTTTGCATTTTGTCCTTGAAAGTATTGTGAAGCAGAACACCGAATGGGTTGGTTTTGTCTCTTAGGGTAAGCAGTTTGAAATGGAGTCCTGAGTGTGTGGGTCCTAGAGATTTCTGTAGTGGGGAAGCCGGATCAGCAGATCCAGTAATTAAGTCGTTTTCTTTCTACATTTACTAAGTCATAGTTTTGTTTTGAAGCCCGCCCCCTACCATCAGTTTTTAGTACCTGTCAGTACCCTGTGTTTTAAAATTTCATGTTGCCTAGCAATCCTAGAAAGAAGTCAGATGTGTGTAGTCAGGAATTTTCAAAGCTTCCTTGCGTCTCAGTGCCTAGCCTGGCATAGGCTGCTCTCAATACCACCTCCTTCCCTCTCTGTAACACCCAAGTATGCCACCGTTTGTGTTCTCAGGGCGTCTGCCTGCCAGAGAATAGCCAAACCTAGCAAAACACTATTGAGTCTTTTATTATTGCCCTCACATCTTGTTTTCTTTTTTCTAATAGCCACAGATAGCATTTTAAGGTGCTGATCCAGTAGTCAAGTAGTCCTGTATGGCGTAGTAAGAAGACAGTTGTGTCCTTTATTGTTCTCTAGAGGCACCAGTTACACTCTGTTTTTCTTACCACCTTATTGCAAAGACACTTGCTGTGTGTTGATTTTTATCTCCCAGTTTCAGGCATTTTTTTTCCACCTAGAATTTGAACATTTGGCTTCCTTACATCCTCTGCCTCTGTTGTGCATAAACACTCTTTCCATTCCCTCATCTGCCATTATAGTTGTATCGTAATTTTGGTTAGTTCCACAATCGTGGTTGATCGTATGACTATGTAAACCGTATTCAGTGCTGAGCCACAAAGTGCCTTATAATTACATTACTGCACAGTATTTTGGGGTTTTTTTTTGAGTTAATACTTGTTTTATTCAGCTGTTAAATTTTCTCATTACTTAGCACTAATTCAACTCTAGACTTTTCATTAACTGTGTAAATCTCTTGTAATCTGGGCAAATGTTAGGTATTCCTATGTTTTTGAAGGTTTTCCAAGAAGTTCTGAATGTTGTACTCTCAAATGATTACCCTTTTTTTTTTTTTTTACCATTTGTCTCCATTTATTTGGGAAATTGCTTTGCCTGTAAACTAACAACTGATAGGCACATTGTTGCACGATCACAGGGCATGAGGGAGAGAGGCCAGTCTAAGGATCCCAGTAAAGGGACAAAGTATGGAAAGCTTCCTTGTTTCCCCCTCCCTTTCCAGACTCCAGGAACACAAAGAGCCATGGGCGTTAAAGTCCAGTCGGCCTTGTCTTCATGGACTGATTACCTGCTTATTGTTTAGATCTTGTTCACCGCCCCTTCTCCTGACTCCCTTTTGCTGTCACCCTAGAGAGCCCTGTGTACCTTCTTTCCTGGCTCCCATGTCTTTGACTTTCTCGGTTTACTGCCTTGTTAGTGAAGTGTAGCCTTCAGTAGCTTTCAGAGGAAGCATTCATGGAAGATAGAATTTTTAAGACTTTACATATTTGTAAATTACTCTTCTGCCTTCTTGTTCGATTGGTAGTATAATGGGGTTTAGAATTCCAAATTTGGAATTGGGGTTTTTGTTCAGTTTTTAAAAATATTTTAAATATGCATTTTAATTTAATGTAATTTTTTAAATTATGTTTTATTGTTTATGCTTTTACAGTTTTCCCAATTTTTTCCCCTTTGCCTGCCCTCTACCTAGACCCTTTTCACTCCCTCAGGCAGTCCCCACACTGTTGTCCAGGTCTGTGGGTCATGCATATATATTCTTTGGTTACTGTATTCACTGTGCTGTTCTTTACATCCCATGACTATTTTGTAATAACCAAAATAGTTGTACTTTTTTGTACTTAAGCCCCTCATCTTTTTCACCCAGCCTCCTGACTCCCCTTCCATCTGGCAACCCATCAAGACATTCTTTGTATCAATGATTCTGTTTTTGTTCTGCTTGTTCATTTATTTTGTATTTTAGATTTAATTGTTGGTAGCTATGTATTTATTGCCATTTTATTCATATTTTTGATCTTCTTAAAGAAGACCTGTTAATATTTCATATAATATTGGTTTGGTGATGATGAACTCCTTTGGCTTTTTCTTGACTGGGAAGCACTTTATCTGTCCTTCCATTCTAAATGAAAACTTTGCTGGTTAGAGTAGTCTTGGTCATAGGTTCTTGATTTTCATCACTTTGAATATTTCTTGCCATTCTCTTCTAGCCTACAAAGTTTCTTTTTAGAAATCAGCTGACAGTCTTACAGGGAGCTCCCTTGTAGGTACCTAACTGCTTTTTTTTTTGCTGTTTTTAAGATTCTCTCTTTATCTTTAACCTTTGGCATTTTAATTATGATGTGTCTTGGTGTGGATCTCTTTGGATTTATCTTGTTTGGGACTCCCTGAGCTTCCTGGAATTATATTTCTCTTTCTTTCACCAAGTTTAGGGAAGTTTTAAAATAGGTTTCCAGATTCTTCCTATCTCTCCTTGTTTGGGCACCCCCATGATGTGAGTGCTGGGAACTTAAAGTTGCCCCAGAGGCTCCTTACACTATCCTTATTTTTTGGATTTTTTTTTTCTTCTTGTTGTTCGGATTGGGTGTTTTTTTTTGCTTCCTTATGTTCCAAATCACTGATTTGAATCTCAGCTTCATCTCCTCTATTGTTGATTCCCTGGGAATTGTTCTTTATGTCAGTTAATGTACCCTTCATTTCTGACTGGTTCTTTTTTATGGTGTCCATGTCCTTTTTTGTGCTGTGGAAATTCTCTCTGAGTTCATCTGCTTTTCCTTAAGTTCATGCAACATCCTTATAACCAGTGTTTTGAACTCTTTATCTAGTAGATTGCTTGAGTCAATTTTGTTTAGCTCTTTTTCTGGAGTTTTGATCTGTTCTTTCATTTGGGCCATGTTTCCTTGTCTCCTCATTTAGGCAGCCTCCCTGTGTTTGTCTCTGTGTATTAAGTAGAGATAACTCCTTGTCTTGGTAGGGTGGCCTAATGTAATTGGTGTCCTATAGGGTCCAGTGGCATAGCCTCCCCTATCACCCAAGCTGGGTACTCAAGGTGCACCCCCTGTGTGGTCTCTGTATACCTTCCCCTTGTAGTTGAGCCTTGAATGCTATCGACAGGTCAGTGGGAGGGATTTACCCAGGCTGATCAGCTACAAGGACTGGTTGTGACTCCTGAACACCAACCTTTGACTGCTGAGAGGATCAGCTGTGCAGGCGCCCACTGTACAGAGCAGGACTTAACTTCAGCAGGGCTCTGGTGCCCACTGAGTCTGCCCCTTGAGTGTATCACTGGTGGAGGTGGTTGAGTGGTGGTACTCTGATGTGGTCTGGAGCTGTCCACTGGGTGCAATGGCTCTGGGGCCTCCTGGGAGGTGCAGGCCAAGGTGAGCCACCACCTGTGTTTTGTTCTGGGCCACCTGGTATAAGCTACAGAGTGATTTGCAAATGGCTACTACTTGTGCTGGGCTTGGAGGTGCCCGAGCAAAGCCAGGCTGTGAACTGAGGCTAGATACTGCTAGTGCCAGGCCTGGTGCCTCTTAGCAAGTGGTACAGGGCTCACTAGGTCCAGATGCTGCTGTTTGAGAGGATTTAGGATAATGTGAAGCATGAAACAAGGCAAGCCATTCATATGGAAAAGCCACAATTAACAACTTGGGGCAGGGGGGCACCCTGAAAGTTGGGTGGGGAAGAGCTTCAGGGAATCATCATGTGACAAACAGTGACAAATCATCAGGGACAAACAGTGTAATCAGGTTGATGGAGTCTCAGATACAGTACCCGCCTGCCCGCTCTGTGTGGGGAGGGATCAGAAAAGAAACAATGGCTTCTGCTAGTATTTATGTCTGGGAGACAGCTGTCCCCCATACTGACCCTGATGCCAGACACTTCTGTGGCTTTCAAGCAGCTACCCTGGTGCTGGAGCTCAGAGGGAGTGAGTCTGAGTAAGTCTTTGCACAGGCCCTTTAAGAGAAACTACCTGGGAAGCCAGCAGTTTCTGTCTTCCGCAGCTTCAGTCCCTGCTGTTTTTTACAGTTAGAAGTTGTGGAGATTTACCTTCCTGGTACTGGACTCTGGGCTGGGAGGCCTAGTGTGGGGCTGAGACCTCCTCGCTCCTGAGATACCCCTCTTGATTTTTATCCACTATGAAACCAGCTGGGTCCGTGTCTCTGCTCCTCCTGTCATTATCGATGTGATTTCTTCTTTAATTCCATAGTTGTAGGACTTCATTCAACTCAATTTCCGGTGGTTCTGAATAATGGTTATTCTGTAGTTTAGTTGTAATTTTGATGTGGTTGTGGGAGGAGGTGAGCCATGGTTATCTAGGCCATCTTATCTTATCTTTCTCCTTACTTTTGATTTTAGAGAGAGGGGAAGGTAGGGAGAAAGAGAGAGAGAGAGACACTGATGTGAGAGAGGAACATTGAATGGTTGCTTTTTATTCATGCCCTGACCTGGGACCAAACCTGCAACCCAGGCATGTGTCCTTCCAGGGATCAAACCCGTGATCTTTTGGTTTGCGGGACGACTCCCAACCAACTGGGCCATGTCAGTCAGGGTGGTTTTTGTTCAGCACCAGTGTCTTCAAGCTTCCATTGTTGCTGTTGAGACCTCTGGTGCCATTCAGGTTGTTAATAGGAAACCTGTTTTCTTCTTTCTCTGGAAGTTCATATGAGTTGTTCTTTTTCACAAGCATGTTTCCTGGTCTGGATCTGTTTTTAACCATTATGCTAAGTACTTTGTGAATCTTTTCATTCTGGAGACTCATGGCTTTCAATTCTGGGAAGTTATTGTGAAATTTTAAAAAATTTCATTCCTTTCATTGATCTGTTTTCTCTGTGAAACTCAAATTTTCCTTATTTATTTCTGTCTGGTTTTCTGTCTTAATTAACTTTTTAAAAAATATATTTTATTGATTGTGTTATTACAGTTGTCCCATTTCCTCTCCC